TGAGAATGATAGGTATGCCCACTGATTAGCGGAGACTACCTGGTATATTCTTAGGTTATTTTTTTTAATGCTTTTTATTTATTTTTGAGAGACAGAAAGAGAGAGAGAGAGAGAGAGAGACCGAGTATGAGCAGGGGAGGGGCAGAGAGAGAGGGAGACACAGAATCTGAAGCAGGCTCCAGGCTCTGAGCTGTCAGCACAGAGCCTGACACGGGGCATGAACTCACACACTGAGAGATCGTGACCTGAGCCGAAGTTGGAGGCTTAACCGACTGAGCCACCCAGACGTCCCTATCCTTAGGTCATTTTCAAATCAGACTGCTGGTATGAAGAGCAAATGCGTGAGGATCACTCTTCCAATTGGCAGGGAACCCAAGACACCGAGATGGAAATCTCCCATCTTGTGGGTCCCTGAGTTGTAAGTCAACCCTTTGAGACCCTTGACTGGACAAACTATGGTTATAGGGGTGGGGAGGGGGATGAAAGAAGTGAGTTTCTACGTCAAGAATGTTGGCAGAGGGGTGCCTGGGTGTCTGACTTTGGCTCAGGTCATGATCTCACGGCTTGTGAGTTCGAGCCTCACATCCGGCTCACTGCTGTCAGTGCAGAGCCCATTTTAGATCCTCTGTCTCCCTCTTTCTCTCCCTGTCCCGCACTCACATTCTCTTGCTCTCCCTCTCTCTCAAAAATAAACATTAAAAAAAAAAAAGGATGTTAGCAGAGAATAGGAAGGCAGTGGCACCGATACGTTGTTCTAGAACAGGAATCAAACTTTTTCCGTAGACGGCTAGATGGTAAAGATTTTAGATGTTCTCCCCCAACTGGTAAATTAAAACATACAAAACAAGAGTGAAACACATTTCCACAGTTTTCAAATGATAAAATTCAAAGTATAATAATAAGTGAATCCTTTTTTTGTAGTATAGTGTAATGAAAAAAATCAAATTCCTTTTTGTGGCAATAACATTTCACTTAATTGGGATTCAAAGTTAGTATTCTATCCCACCAAATCGATTGTGAATATTCTTCGGTAAAAACCATTCTTAGCCTGTGGGCTGTAAAAAAACAGATAGTGGGCCTCCATTGGCTGATGCCTATTGAATCCATCTACAAGGATACTATCGATAATAATATCAGGTAACATTTATTGAATATTGACTAAGGTCAAACACCAGGCTCAGTGTTCTGCTTGAATTTTCTTACTGGGGACTTCAGCAACCCAGTGATAGATGCTATTACTGTTCTTTTCATTTCATAGGAAAGGCAAGAGAATAAGGATGAGCACTTGCCCAAGGTTGTCTGTCTGTAAGTGGCGGTAGAATTTACACGAGGTCTGTGAATTCAGAGGACAAGCCTCGCCCAATCTAGGCTAAGGCATCCATCCAAGAAAGAGCCGAGAACTCCAGCTCCAGTCACCAAGGCCTCCGTAACACGCTGAGCCTTTGTCGCCACTCTATTATTTTTATTTATTGGCTGTTTTATTTTTGTTTCCTGCCCCAGCTCTCTTTTCTCTTTGAGTGATTGCCGCCCTCACCCCGGAGGCAAAAAGGGCTGGTGCTTTCTGTTTGGGAATAAATTATCAAGTGGGTGGAGAGAGCAGTGGAAGGGGAAGAAACGGGCACCTCCTTTGTAGCGAAGTCAGAGCAGGGGAAGAACCCCATGGAATCAAGATAGCGTCAGCTTTAATTAAGAAAGTGGAGTCAAGGGGCGCCTGGGTGGCTTAGTCGGTTAGGCGTCCGACTTTCGCTTAGGTCATGATCTCGCAGTTCGTGGGTTCGAGCCCCGCATCGGGCTCTGTGCTGACTGCCAGCTCAGAGCCTGGAGCCTATTTCAGTCTGTGACTCCCTCTCTCTGACCCTCCCCTGCTCATGCTGTGTCTCTGTCTCTCTCTCTCCTAGAAATAAATAAAACATTAAAAAAAAAAAAAAAGTGGACTCAACCCACGGGCTTTATGAGTGAGCTGTAACCTCTGAACACTTCATTCAGGAGGCCTTTCAGGTTCTTCCATTTGATTTTTTTTTCTAATCCTTCTCATCCATTTCCTGTATCCAGCCCTGTTTCTTGGTGAGAATTGTGCTGGTCAAAAGCCCCTCTCACCCAGTTGCTAGGGGTCCACACTGTCCATTCAGGCCACTAATGGCCCTCCAGACCACAAGGTAGAAGACTCAGGCTTCCAATCTGAAATACTACCTCCTTGCTGGCATGGGCTTTGGCTGTCAGGGCTACAGAGGTACCCCATGCTTAACTGGATGCCTGCCAACTGTGGGCACGCCCTATTACCTGTTGGTCTGCATACCTAATCAACTAGCCAGCAAGAGTAAGTGGTACCTTCCATACCAATGGCATCATTTTAAAAACAGACCCTCTGTGGGAGGTGACAGCAAATCAGTGCAACTGTTAGGGGCCAGTCCCAACCTGAGAAGAATATTGTCAAGAATCCTGTCCTGGGAAATGCACAATTTCTTTTTTTTTTCTTTCTTTTTAAAATGTTTATGTATTTTTAAGACAGAGAGACAGATCGTGAGTAGGGGAGGGACAGAGAGAGAGAGAGACAGAATCTGAAACAGGCTCCAGGCACTGAGCTGTCAGCAAAGAGCTGACACGCAGCTCAAACCTGCAATCCACGAGATCGTGACCTGAGCTGAAGTTGGACGCCCAACAGACAGCCACCCAGGCGCCCCAGAAATGCACAGTTTCTGGAGTCATACAGTGGCCTCAGACATAGGTAAAATAGATGCTGTGCTTTGTGGGGCTCTGGGAGAGGCTTTTCCTCCCTGGAATAATTTTTCCCAGGCCTATTTCTGTTCAAATTCTACAGTCACAGATTTATTCCTTTTGTTAAGTGTTGCTTTTCCTGGATTCTTCTTTTTTGAAAGGGGGAGAGGTAACACGCTAAATGACTTTAGTACAAATAGGTGTTAAATATATTCTTTTCATCAAAAGAGGTGCGGCAGCTTGCATGCACTGGGCACCAGCCATGGGAGGGCATTTCTGGAGGTAAGAAAGAAGTTCAGAAACGTAAGAGGGACCCAGAGAAGACGCAGAACTTACCAGTGCTTCCCACCTGACCAGCACTGTTCTGTGTGCTCTACTGTGCTACTTAAATTACCAACATAGCTCCCTGCAATGGCTTCTGGCCTTGCCCCCATTTTACAGATGTGGAAATGGAGGCTAAGAGAGGTTAAGTAATTTTCCCAAGGTCACACAGCTAGTGAATAGCTCCCAAAGGTGATCTTGGAACCAATGTTTCTTGTGTTTCAGTGTGAAATTATGCTAGGAGTTGCCCCGCCCACCCCCAGGCTCAGCGATTTCTCTGGGAGAACTCACAGGACCCAGCATATAATTTCATTTATTACAGTGAAAGGATACAAAGCAAAATCAGCAAAGGGAAAAAGACACATGGGGTTAAGGCCGAGGAAAATCAGGAAAGCCTCCAAGATTCCTCTTCCGGGGGAGTTCCATGGAACATGCTCAACTCCTCCAGGAATGAGTTGCGGCAACACGTGTGAAATGTGTTAGGAAGCCCATGAGATACCCAGCGTGCTGGATTTTTACTGGGGGCGAGTCACGTTGGCGCCCTCTACCTCGCATGCACCCAAATCCCAGATTCTCAGGGGAAGCAGGTGTACAGCATAAAGCACACTGTACAAACGGTTCAGGCCCAGTGAGCCTCCCTCTCGTCAGTTCTGGAAATGGTGAGACTCCCTGAAAGCCAAGTTCCAGTCACCAGCCAAGACCAGCCTTGCAAGCGGGCCTTTTTAAGCAAAGCACTTGGGCTGGCCATGTTAGCTCTTTCATGCACAGGTAGCCCATCCACCCACCAGTGTTTTTGAAAAGGAGCGATTTGCATTTTCCCCCTTCCTTTAAGGATTGAACCTCCCTCCCAGTAAATTGACATTTATCTCAGGATTAGAATGCATAAGGGCATTTAAGCATAGCATTTGTCATATAGTATGTATTCAATAGAAATTGACGTGCTCCATGGTTGCTTCCTGATCATTTCTGTGTCTGTTAGATCTGGTAAGGAGCTCAAGTTAACTCTTTTTTTTTTTTTTTTATAAAAAAATATTTTTTTAAACCTTTATTCATTGTTGAGAGATAGAGGCAGAGCATAAGTGGAGGAAGGAGGGGCATAGAGAGAAGGAGACACAGAATCCGAAGCAGGCTCCAGGCTCTGAGCTGTCAGCACAGAGCCCGACGCGGGGCTCAAACCCACGAACCATGAGATCATGACCTGAGCCGAAGTTGGACTCTTTTTTTTTTTTTTTTTAATTTTTCTAATGTTTTTTATTTATTTCTAGGAGAGAGAGAGAGACAGCGTGAGCAGGGGAGGGTCAGAGAGAGAGGGAGACACACAGACTCTGAAATAGGCTCCAGGCCCTGAGCTGGCAGCACAGAGCCCGATGCGGGGCTCGAACCCACAAACCACGAGATCATGACCTGAGCGAAAGTCGGACTCTTAACCAACTGAGCCACCCAGGCGCCCCTCAAGTTAACTCTTAAGTAATGAAAACTAGGGCGCCTGGGTGGCTCAGTTGGTTAGGTGTCTGACTTTGGCTCAGGTCATGATCTCCTGGTCTATGGGTTTGAGTCCCACGTTGGGTTCTGTGCTGACAGCTCGGAGCCTGGAGCCTGCTTCGGATCCTGTGTCTCCATCTCTCTTTGCCCCTCCCTCTGCTGCTCGCACTATTTCTTTCTCAAAAATAAACATTAAAAACTTTTTTTTTAAAAAATGTAATGAGGGGCACCTGGGTGGCTCAATCGGTTAAGCGTCTGACTTTGGCTCAGGTCATGATCTCATTGTTCATGGGTTCGAGCCCCGCGTTGGGCTCTGTGCTGACAGCTCAGAGCCTGGAGCTGCTTCGGATTCTGTCTCCTCTTTCTCTGCCCCTCCCCTGCTCACGCTGCCTCTCTCTCTCTCTCAGAAATAAATAAAACATTAAAAAAAATACTTTAAAAAAATGTAATGAATACTTTCCCCGCTCCCCTGTCATTCCCAGGCGGTCCCTATGAGGTTGAGGTCAATATCTCCAGCACCGGCGTGCTCCCCAATGGCACCCTCTATGCGGCCAGAGGCTCCCAGGTGAACTTCAGCTGCAGCAGTAGCTCTCGGCCTCCGCCGATGGTGGAGTGGTGGTTCCGGGCCCCCGATTCCAGCCCTGAGCCCTTCGGAAACAACCTGGCGGTCAGCAGCTTCACTCTGCTTCTCATGTCGCAAAACCTCCAGGGAAACTACACCTGCTTGGCCAGGAACGTGCTCAGCGGGAGACGGCGGGAGGCGACCACTGAGCTCCTGGTCTACTGTGCGTAAGAGGCGCCCCCTCCCCCACGTCCTCACCTTGACCCTTCGTCACCTGCACGTTTGCGCCTCTCCCTCTTGTCTACAAAGGCGTGTCTGCTGCACGGGCCCCAACGTGCCTCTGGCGTTACCTCCGCGCACACGCACACCCCCAGGGCTGCCTGTCCGAGAGGAGTCACTGCTAGAAGCTTGCTGCTAAGTTGTGGGGGGGCGGGGGGCGCAGAGGAGCGTCCCCGTGAGCCACAGAAGGAAATTAATGCCAAGCCTAATGCTTGCTTTTTTTTTTTTTTTTAAATTGAGGCGGAAGTACAGAATAACCATTTAAAAATGTACAACTCCGTGGCATTTGGTACATTCATGGCGTTGTGCAGCCGTCACCTCGGTGTAGTTTCAAACGTGTTCTTCACCCCAGATGGAAATCCCATCCCCATCGAGCAGTTACTACCCAGTTACTGCTTCCTGTCTTCTCCACCCCCTGGCCACCCATCTGTGTTCTGTCTCTGGGCATTTGCTTCTTCCGAGTGTGTTCTATCAGTGGGCTCCCTCCAGTGTGGCCTCTCGTGACCAGCTTCTCTTACTTAGCGTTGTGTGTTCAAGGTTCATCCTTTTTATGATGGCGTTAATATCCCACTGCATGGAAAGACCACCATTTGTGTATGCATCTGACCATCCTCATTCTGTGCGTGAACCTGGGCCCTCTAGCACTGTTAGGAGCCAGCAGTTCATAATCGTTTCTTGTGGGGGGTGAGAGAACAAATTCCTTGGGTGAAAACCACCATAGACATGTAGAGTGTACTCATAACCTCTGCTAGCGAAAGGGAGCGTCAGGACAGCAAATTAATGAACAGGATAATAACACCTTACTTAATTCATACGTTATTCAGAGCCTTTATAAGTCTCTGTGTTCGCTGTCATAAATGACATTTATTGTAGATGAAGTCGTATGTGCTTATTAGAGGAAACATGAGTGGAAAGAAGAAAAAAACATTCTACCCCTCATTTTGGTATATTATCGATAATTTTTCTTGTAGATGACATGTACGTACCCATTTATGTAAGATCCAAATTTATTTCTATTTATGTGTATTATATAAAATCTATAAAACATGAAACATGATATACATACGTGTTATGATATACATATAGAATACATGCACAGTATACATATATATGTGAATTTTCATATACAGCTATTAACACATGGGTTACATTAGATTTACAGGTTTGTAACTTGTTAAATGTTTATGTGTTCTTAGTAATGCCTGCACACCTGCACAAAGTAAAACCGAAGGATATGTTAAGGGTGGGGGTGAATCCTACCCGTAACCCCCCTCCCCCACCCCCAGGGACCAGCACTGTCCAGTAGAGCTTTCAATGATGATCAAAATGTCCTGTTCTTTGTGGCCTGATACAGTAGCCGCCCACCACATGGAGTTACCGAGCCCTTGAAATGTTGAGCGTGTGATGTAAGGATTAACCGTGTAATGTAATTAATTTTAAATAGCTGCATTTAAAGGTCACTGTGGCTAGTGAGAATTGCCAAGATGAACGAGGGCCCCAACCTCAGAGACTGGACACTCCGCAGAGGAGACCCGGACTATTGTCATGCACAGATTTGTGCCAAGGAGCTACTTCGGGGCACACTAACTGAGCATGAGTGTTTCTCGGATACACTGGTTCTGTAAGTCCATAGGGTCAGTCCAGTGGCTCATCTCAGAGTCCGTGAGTAAGCCCGTGTCCTCTGCTGTTTCACAGCACCCCCTCCGGCAGCCCCTCAGTGCCGGGCAGAGATGTCGCAGAGACAGCTCACGCTGCAGCTCACCTGTCGCTGGGACGGGGGGTACCCAGACCCGGACTTCCTATGGACAGAAGAGCCAGAAGGCGTGGCCGTGGGGACGTCAAGGCTGGGGGTGGAGACGCTGAACCAATCCCAGCTGTCAGACGGCAAGAAGTTCAAGTGTGTCGGGAGCCACATAGTGGGGCCGGAGTTGGGAGCCAGCTGCGTGGTACAGATCAGTGAGTCTGGCTTGCCTTGTCTGGGGCTGGGGTCCACCCTTCTTCCTTTATTCCGAGAGGACCTTCTGCAAGAAGGTCTGGAAAAGAAATCCCAAGATGTCGCGGTGAACAGAATTCTGTTTCTCCTTCTCTTTTGCTTTGTATTTCCTTCCTTTCAAACTTTAAAGATGCTTCACCAAGCTTCTTGGTTCTCCTCCAAGCTCTTTGCCACTTGGTGAATCCTAACTAAGCACGTGCTGTGCACCAGGCACAGTTTCTGGGTACCGGAGGTGGAACACTGAACGAGTACGTGGTTCACTTATTAGCTGTCTCCTGTCATGTAACAAACACCCCCAGACTTAATGGCTTAAAACAAGCCATATATTTATCTTGTGATTTCTGTGGGTCAGGCATTCAGACAGGGCACAGTGGGGATGGTCTCTCTTGGTTCCATGATTCCTGGGTCTCAGCTGTAAGACTTCGTTGGGAGGGCTCAAATCGTCTGAAGGATCCACTTCCGGTGCTTCCTTGCCACGGGGCCTCTCTCCAGAGCCCCTTGACTGTCTGCAACATGGCGCTGGCTTTCCCCAGAGCAAGTGATGCAAGAGGGAGCAAGCCAGGCAGGTGCGATCCTTTTTCTGCCCCCCAGCCCCCCACCCCCCCGCCTCACAAGTCACACGGCGTCCCTTCTGCCATCTTCTCTTCATTAGAAGTGAGTCACTCAGTCTGGCTACATTTTCTAATTTTTTTTTTAATGTTTTATTTATTTCTAGGAGAGAGGGAGAGACAGCATGAGCTGGGGAGGGTCAGAGAGAGAGGGAGTCACAGACTGAAACAGGCTCCGGGCTCTGAGCTGGCAGTCAGCACAGAGCCCGACGCGGGGCTCGAACCCACGAACCGCGAGATCATGACCTGAGCGAAAGTCGGACGCTTAACCGACTAAGCCACCCAGGCGCCCCAGTCTGGCTCCATTTTCAAAGGGGGTGGGGAGTGGGTGGAATTGGGCTCTACTTTTTGAAGGGAAGAGTGTCAAATGATTTCTGGTCATGTTTTTGAAATCACGATCATTCCTCTTTCCTAGAGCTTAAGCTCTTCTGCGTGGGGGTGGGGGTCAGAGGAAGATAGAAAATCCAAAAGCAAGTAAGGTTGGTTCGGATAATGATAATTATTTTTTTAATGTTTTCATTTTAATTTTGAGAGAGAGAGGAGAGCGCTCGCGCACACATGTACGAATGGGGGAGGGGCAGAGAGACAGGGAGACACAGCCCCAAGCAGGCTCCAGGCTCTGAGCTGTAAGTACAGAGCCCGACACGGGGCTCGAACCCACAAACTGCGAAATCATGACCTGAGCCAAAGTCAGATGCTTAACCACCTAAGCACCCCAGGGATAATAGCTATGAAGAGAATAAAGTGGGTTGTTTTTAAAGAGTGTATCACAGGAAGGGGGCCACTCTTCCTGGGGGGCATGGAGGTCTCCTTGTGGTGATAGTATTTGGAGCAGAGACCTGTGAGATGAAGGAGCTGGCCAGGTGGGCTGAGTATTCCTGGCAGAGGGTATAGCAAATGCTAAGGCCCTGAGGTGGAAACATATCCAGCGCTTGAGGAACTGAGAGAAGACCAGTAAAGCCGCGGTGTTGTGCATGAGGTAGTGATTAGGCTAGATGGCTATTGTGGGTTGAATTGTGTCTCCCACAAAAGATATGTTCAAGTCCTAATCCTGGGTCCCTGTGGATGTGACCGTATTTGGGATAAGAGCCTTTGTGGGCGTGATTAGGTGAAGATGAGGCCATGCTGGATTAGGGTGGGCTCTATTCCAGTGACTTATATCCTTACAAGAAGAGGGACAGTTGGACCCAGACACGCAGGGAAAATGCCGCATGATAACGGAGGCAGGAATGAGAGTGATCCAACCACAAGCCCAGAATGCCCTTGGTTGCCGGCGACCACCAGAAACTAAGAGAAGGCATGGGATGCTCTCTCCCTGGTGGCCCCCACAGGAATCAAGCCTGCTGACACCTTCGTTTCAGACCTCCGAGTGTCCACGCTGTGAGAGAGTGGATCTCTGTTGTTTTAGGCTACCCACTTTGTGGTACTTTGTGAGAGCAGCCCCAGGAAAAGAGCACAACCAGAAGCAAAGACCTGAGAGTCTTGGCCATTGTTGGCCCTGGTGAACACGGTGTGTCAGGATAATCCTCCGAGGTGCAGCCACAGAGGGCTGACCTGCTGAGTCAGTGAGCCCTGTAATTCCAGGAGGTGCGTGTTTCCCCGGGCAAGTAGCATTCCCACGGGTGACCCTTCCCCAGTGGCTCATTCAGCAAATGTGCCCCGAGCGGCCATCTGTGTCCGGTACCTGGGCAGCTGTAGGCAACAGAAGGGACCAAGACTCACTTTCTACATCAGAACAGGGGCTGGCAGACAATGGCCCGTGGGCTAAATCCGGCCCAACTGTGTTTTTGCAATTGTATTTAAAAAAATTTTTTTTCATGTTTATTTTTGAGAGAGAGAGGGAGAGAGAGCATGAGCAGGGGAGAAGCAGAAAGAGAGGGCGAGACGCAGAATCCGAATCAGGCTCCAGGCTCTGAGCTGTCAGCACAGAGCCCAATGTGGGGCTGAAACTCCCAGACGGTGAAATCACGACCTGAGCGGAAGTCGGATGCTCAACCGACTGAGCCACGCCGGCACCCCGCAATTTTATTTTTGTTGGGATATAATTCACATAACACAAACTTCGTTATTTTAAAGTATGTAATGGTGGTTTTTAGTATATTCACAAAGTTGTACTACCATCACCACTGTCTACTTCCAGAACATTTCCATCCTCCCACAAAGAACCCCTGTACCCACTGGCAGGGACTCCCCTCTGGGAAGACTGGGCAAGTACTTAGTTGCCAGTATTTCCACTGACAGTGGGTGTTATCTTTAATTTTTTAGACTTTTCCTATTTGTTAAGACATGGCATAGCTTTTAATTTGGGTTTCTTTGATCCTAATCAAATTGACAATTTTTATGTACCGATTGGTACAAATATATGCTAATTAGTACATAATACTGTGTACAAATTGGTTCCCTATATACTGTCTGTGAATTAGCTGTTCATATCTTGTCCATTCTTCTACTGGGTTCATCCCTTTCTTATTATTCACTAAGAGTACTTTACATTCACTTTGTCAGTTAATTTCCTAGAAGGGTCATGCATGTCATAGATCTTTTTCCGTCCTACTTGGCTCCTAAACTGCATTTGTGCCCCATTTCTGCTAACTCAGCAGTTTCTGATTGTGAAGGGGTCACCTACCTCTGTCAGTCCGGTTCTCTTAGGTTCCTGGGCCCAGAAGTTCTTTTCTTGTTTCCAAATTGCGAGCACGAGGTTTGAACCCTCACAGTAGCCTGCAGATTAGACAGGATGGTTTGTAAGTTGCAAATGTCACATCATGTGAATGAACTTACCCAAGATCACCCCCCGCCTGTAAGTGACTGAGCCGGCACTTAGGCCCAGGCTGATCTGACTCCAAGAACCCTTGCCTCCCTCGGGACCCCCTTCCACACCTAATCCAGCAAGTCTTTTCGGGTAAGAGTTACATACTCAGCATGGTGCCAGTTACATACTCAGCATGGTGCCAGGTACTATATAGGAGTACCGAGTCCTTACCTTCGAAGGACTTAAAATTTCCTCGGAGAGGAAGTCACAGAAACGTGAAATAGGGAACTGACAATATCACAGTAGTGACATCGATATTTGTTGAGCTCAAACTGTATGCAAGGTGCTGTGCTGAGTGTTTTTCACACAGTACCTTGCTTAGTCCTCACGATCACCCTGGGAACTGAGGGCTCATATTTTATCCTCATAGATTCGTTTCCTGAGGCTGCTGTAACAAAGCACCATGAGCTTGGTGGTTTTAAGCAACAGATATTGGGGTGCCTGGGTGGCTCAGTTGGTTAATCATCCGGCTTCAGCTCACGTCATGATCTTGAGGTTCGTGAGTTAGAGCTCCACATTGGGCGCCATGCAGATGCCTGGAGCCTGGAGCCTGCTTCAGATTCTGTGTCTCCCTCTCTCTCTGCCCCTCCCCTGCTCATGCTCTGTCTCTCTCTCTTTCTCTCTCAAAAATAAGTAAACATTAAAACAATGAAAAATAAAACAGAAATGTATCCTCTCCTAGCTCTGGAGGCTGGAAGTTTGAAATGGAGACATTGGTGGGCCGTGCTCCCATCGAGGGCTCCAGGGGAGAGTCCTTCGGTGCCTCTCCTGGCCTCGAGTCCCACCAGTGTTCCTTGGCTCGTGGCTCCGTTCCTCCAGTCTCTGCCTCTGTCTTCATGTCTCCTCTGTGTCCGGGTCTCCCTGGGTCCTCTCCTCTTGGAAGATGCCTGCTGTTGGCCTTAGGGCCCACCCTACATCCGGGATGACTGCATCTTGAGATCCATAACTAGTTACATCTGCAAAGATCCTGTTTCCAAATAAGGTCACATTCTGGGGTTCCACGTGAACTTTGGGCAGATGCTATTCAATCCACCACGCTCCATGTTATGGATGATGAAGCAGAAGCAATGGGCTTGACCCAGTTCCTACAGCCGGAAGCAGGGACGACTTCAGTGGTGGGGAAGGAAGACTCCCAAAGTGTGCTGTGGACGGCGGCTCCCAGGAAGTGGCTAAATTATGGACTGACCCCCGGGGGGGTGGGATGGCAGAGGCAGCTGACAGGTTTGGTGTTGTTTTCCACCCACCGCTTCCTTTTTTTTTCACTGAAGCTCTTGTCTGACTCATCATTCTTGTGGCCCCTGAGACTGGGCCAGCAATTTGAGTCTAAATATGTGCTCAGGATTAAGAAATGTGTCTGGAGAAAAGAACTGAGTGGACATTTTCCCAATTCCAGGAGCATAGGGAAGGAGTCCCAAGAGCCTAGAAGCTTCCTGGCTCTGACATTGTCCATTTCTCCCCTCTTCCCTCTTGGTCGTTTGGGCCCAGAGCGTCTCAGCCTTGATGTCATACAGGTCACCTGCAGGGCTGGTTAAAAGGCAGATTCTGGCTCTCTGGGTTTGGGACAGGCCCAAGACTCAGCATTTCTAACCAGCTCCTAGAAAGTGTCGATGCTGCTGGTCCAGAGACCATACTTTGAATAGCGGTGCCCTTGGGGGAGAAGGAGGCTCTGGATCAATGTCCTTGGGAATTCTAGTAAGTCATTGCAAAGTAATGTTAATGCCCACCTTTCGGTACAGAACAGCATAGCCCCCCAGATGATGAACAGTGATACTTTTGGGGATTCCTGCTGCCCACATCTCTCTTTAAATTGCTTATAGGCCCCTACACGGGAGAAATCCACTTGAATCGTGATAAGCTGAAGCACTAAGCAGCTCATTACGTGAAGGCCCTGGTGTATTATCCATCTCTCGCAGATCTCTGAGGGCTCTGCATCCCCTCACCCCTGCACACAGCATCCTCTTAAGTGAAAGAAACTCTGAATTTATAGGTGCCACACTCGCTGTTTGGGTGACTCGGCTTTTTGAGAGGGTAAATGCTGTTTTGCAGGAGCCAGTTTATGAACATGACCTCTGCTGGGGGGGGGGGGGATGGGCCCAGGGGCGTTGTTTGCTTTGCTTTCGCTGCAGGATGAGGAGGCCGTTTCTTAACTGACTGAGCCACCCAGGTACCCCAGGAGGCCGTTTCTTAAACTTAGGTTTGGGGGCCCCTGAATTCCAACATACAGATGAGGCGTGTCGCTGCTGCTGGCTTGTGACCCCAAAGGAGATAGGAGTTAACCACAGAGAAGGGGAAGGCACAATTTGGCGACGTGGCAGGAACCCGACAGTTGATCCAGAAAGGGCTGTAGCATGTAAGTTTCCTGAGGAAACCTAGGTTTGGGGGTCTCTTTTGCTGACATAATTTAGAGGGAGAGGCTTTGGGCTGTTCCACACCCCTCCCCCCTCCCCTGAGAACATTCCCCCTTCCGTCTCCCCAGGCCACCAATACTGAAACCCTAGATTCTCTCTTGGGACAACCGGCTGTGGGAAGCGTGTGGTTTCACTCTCCCAGGCAGGAACCCAGCATGCCATTCTGTGTCCTTCAGCTGCTGAAAATATGGGCTTAATGTATCACCCAGGATAAATGTGCCACCCTTCCCAAGATGGTGTGCATTTTAGGAAAAGCTTTCTGCTGCAAAGAAAATAAATGGGTTGGGGGCACCTGGGTGGCTCCGTCAGTTAAGCGTCTTACTTAGGCTCGGGTCACGATCTCTTGGTTTGTGGTTGAGCCCCTCATTGGGCTCTGTGCTGACAGCTCGGAGCCTGGAGCCTGCTTTGAATTCCGTGTCTCCCTCTCTCTCTGCCCCTCCCCTGCTCACGCTCTGTTTCTCTGTCTCTTAAAAATAAATAAACATTAAAAGTTAAATAAAAAAGAAAGAAAATTGGGGCACCTGGGTGGCTCAGTTGGTTAAGGGCCCAACTTGGGCTCAGGTCATGATCTCATGGTTCATGGGTTTGAGCCCTGCATCAGGCTGTGTGCTGACAGGTCAGAGCCTGGTGCCTGCTTCAGATTCTGTGTCTCCCTCTCTCTCTGCCCCTCCTCTGCTCACACTCTGTCTCTGTTTCAAAAAAAAATAAACATTAAAAATAAAATAAGATTGCTGGGGTGGACCTTAGAGTTCCCTGCGCCCCACTCAAATCGGCCCCTGAGCCCACAGGGACGCTGTGTTCTGAGTTGTCTAGGACACACCTATGATAGAATGATGTCTCCCCACAAAGATGTCCGTGTCCTCATCCCTGTGACCATGTTCCCTTACATGGCAAGAGAGACTGTGACGCTGTGATTTAAGATCTTGGGATGGGGAGATCATCCTGGATTATTGGGGTGGACCCGTGTCATCACAAGGGTCCTTCTGAAAAGCAGACAGGAGGGTCAGAGTCAGCAGCAGGAGACCTGATAACAAGTGTAAGAGCGGGGCAAGGAGGGGCCACGAGCCACAGGATGCAGGTGGCTTCGGAAAGCTGAAATAGTAAGGACACGGATTTGCCCCCTGGAGCCCCCAGAAGGAATGTGCTCAGCCAACAGCTTGATTTGAACCCCGTAAGATCATTTCCAACTTCTGACCTCCAGAACTATAAAAGAATAAATGTGCGGTGTTTTAAAGCACTCAGTCTGTAGCAATTTGTTAACAGTGGCGATAAATGACTATAGCTGCTTTACCGTTCCCTTGAACACTCTTGGCAGGCTGCGTGCCCATTTTCCATATGAGCAATGTGGTTATTATGCATAGAAGCCTAGAGCATAGACATAAGGAGCGTGGGCTACAAAAGCCTGGCAACTTAGCTTCAAGAGTAACCACCTCATCCTGGTTTGCCCAAGACTTGCCCCGTTTTCTCACTGAAAGCCTCATGTCCCGGACCCCCCTGTCTTGAGCACACCACCACTCTTATTCATCCTAATCCTAGCTGCACCATTTATTGAGTTGTGTGACTTTGAGCAAGTTACTTAACCTTCTTTGGGCCTTTGTTTCCTCATCTGCAAAATGGGGATAAGGACAGGGTTTTTTGAGAACTTGTTGGGTTAATAAGCGTCACCATGCCTAGCCCATAGTAGATCCTAAATAAACGTTAGCTTTTATTATTACATGAGACCAAGTGTGGTTCAGAACTTCCTATAGTTGTTTCATAAGGAAGGAGAGAATATTGCTGAAAATCTCAGGCCACTGCTTGAATCTCCTTGAACATTTGCCTTCTTTCTTTACCTTCTGATCACCAGGAAGCCCCTCCCTTGCCTCTGAGCCCATGAAGACTTGCTTTGTGGGGGGCAATGTGACGCTCACCTGCCAAGTGTCTGGCGCGTACCCCCCTGCCGAGATCCTGTGGCTGAGGAACCTCACCCAGCCCGAGGTGGTCATCCGGCCCAATGGCCACTATCTCATCACCCAGAATGGCCAGAGCTCCACACTCACCATCCGCAACTGCTCCCAGATCCCGGATGAGGGCTACTACGTCTGTCGGGCCGAGAACCCCGTAGGGGTGCGGGAGGTGGACATCTGGCTGAGTGTGAAAGGTGAGTGGCCCCAAAGGAGGAAGGTTGAGAGCTTCAGAGGACTTGCCACCAGCATGGGGACGGTTGGTGCTTCCCTATCTATGGGTCACTGCCATCCGGGAGAAGGCCTATCTGCTTGGCTAGGACTTGACAAGGTAGAAAAATGATTTTCCAGTCCTAAATTTCCAACACTGTATGGGGATAAAAAAAGTAATTTATGTTGAAGCGCCTGGCAGCCTCAGTCGGAAGAGCGCATGACTCTTGATCTCGGGGTCGTGAGTTCAAGCCCCACGTTGGCGATAGGGATTACTAAATAAAATATAAAAGAAAACTTTAAAAAATAATAATCTGTTACCTCCCAAAGAATATGTGTGATCAAATATACTTTAAAAATATAAAAAGTATAAGTTGTGAAGCATAAGAACAAAATGAAAACCCAAGAAACCACCAGCCTGCCTAAGATACGGAGCAGTGCCTATGAAGTTACTCGTAGGTAGTGTGGCCAGATTTAGAAAAATACAACAAAGCTGGAAAAAAACCTGGGGTGCCCACTTAAATTTGCATTTCAGAAGAGCAAAGAATTTTCTTAGTGTAAATATGTCCCACAGTGTGCACAGGAGATGCTTATTCCAAAACATGATTCATTATATACCGGAAATCCAAATTTAAGTGAACATGCTATATTTTATCGGGCAGCTCTACCTGTAGACTCCTTTCCAGTCTCATCCTGGGCCTCCTGAAAAATGTAAGCACTACTCAAAAAAAGTTTTTCTACATAAGTGAAATGTTTGCTTTTTTCACTCCACATTTTGTTCCTAGGATTTATTCATCCCAATGTGTGTAATTATACCTCGTACCTCCTCTGCTGCAGGATTTTCTATTGTGTCACGATTGCACAACTAAGTTACTAATTTTCTGTTGATAGACATTTGTATTGTTTCTGACTTTTTGTTGTTGTGATGAGCAAAAATGTTACTATGAAAATCTTTTACCCAGTTTCTCCTGTATTTTTATAGCGGGTCCCCAGGCAAATATTTCTCTAGGATATATGCAGAAGGAGTAGAAAGGAAGGGCATGCGCATTTCTATCTTATTGGATAATACCAGCTTATTCTCCAAAGTTGTTGTACTGCTTTCCATTCACAACAGCACTATTTAGGAATATTGAGTTGTTCCACATTTTTGCGTTCAGGCTTTGTGATTTTTGCCCATCAAGTACATGTAAAGTGGAATCTCACTGTTGTTCTAGTTTGCTTTTCTCTGGTTCCTAAGAAGATTGAGCATTATTTCATATTTGCTCAATAGTATATTTGCTATTTGTGTTTCTTTTGTGAAATATATGCGCGTCTTTTGACATTTCCTCCTTTCTTATAGATATGTACAAGTTCTTTAGAAATTCTGCATACTAATTCCTACTAGTTTCACAGATTACAGATCTCTCCTTTTAGTTGTTTGCCTTTTGTTTTGCTTTCTTTATGGTATCCTTTGATGAGCATTCTTACTTTAATACAATTTTATGAGTCTTGTATCATTAGCAATTTTTATGTCTTAAGACATCCTACCTCCCCCTTGGCCACAAAAATCCTATCCTATATTTTCTTCTAAGAAGTTTTAATGTTTTGCCTTTCACAGTTAAATCTTTAACCCATCTGGAACTGATTTTTGTGAATGGTGTGAGGTAGGGATCACGTTTCTCCACCCCCCCCAGCCCCACCCAAATATGGATAACCATTTATTCCAGCACCATTCTTGAATAATCCTTCTTTTACCCACTAATCTGTTATAGATCAAATTTTCTTTTATGCATAGGTCTGTTCTTGGGTTCTCGATTCTGTTCCATTCATCACTGTTTATCACAGCACCAATTACTCATACTCGTACTTTCTGTGGCCTTATAAATGGTCTTGATGTCTGGTAAACACATGGAGGTGTTAATTTCCAGTGGGTTTTTTTATGTTTATTCTTTTTAAATTTTTTAAAGATTTTATTTTTAAGACAGAGAGAGACTCACAAATAGTGAGATCATGACTTGAGCTAAAGTTGGCACTCAACCAACTGAGCCACCCAGGGCCCCTAATTTTTATTTATTTTTGAGAGAGAGAGAAAGAGTGCAAGTGGGGGAGAGGCAGAGAGAAGGAGACACAGAATCTGAAGCAGGCTCCAGGCTCTGAGCTGTCAGTATGGAGCCTGATGTGGGGCTTGAACTCTCAAACCACGAGATCATGACCTGAGCCAAAGTTGGATGCCTAACCGACTGAGCCATCAAAGCGTCCCAACTTTCCAGTGTTCTTTTGCATCACATGCTCCATTTGATTCCTGGAAACTGAGGAAATGAGATATTTGTCTTGCTTTATGGAGAGGTCACATGCTTTGCCCAAGCTTATGGAACCAAAGTAAGACTAGGACCCAGGCAGAGGAAGGGAGATGTTGCTCTTTTACCTGCACGTGTATCAATTTTAGTGTGCGTGTTGCTGAAGCGAGCACTGCCTGCAGATGTATCAGGTGGAAGAATCAACAGTGTGATTTGTCTTTGTAGAACCTTTGAATATCGGTGGGATTGTAGGCACCATCGTGAGCCTCCTTCTGCTGGGACTGGCCATTATCTCAGGGCTTATGTTGTATTACAGCCCTGTGTTCTGCTGGAAAGGTAAGGGTTTCTTGGGTCCTTTTGTTTACCTTTTAGGCTTCTCGAAAGGGTGTGGGTGTGGGTCACCCGGGTGGCTCAGTCGGTTAAGCATCTGACTCTTGGTGTTTACTCAGGTCATGATCTCATAGGTTGCCAGGTGCGGCTCTGTACTGACAGCGTGAAGCCGACTTGGGATTCTCTCTCTTCCCCTCTCTTGCTTAAGTGCATGCATTCTCTCTCTCTCCTCCCCCCTTTCTCTGTCTCTCAAAATAAAGAAACTTGAAAAAAAAAAGAAAGGAAGAGTGTGGGTGCGGGAAGGAGGCCCTAATTGTATTCCCAGCTGAGGTCCCATTCTATAGGCTTCTTCATTGGGTCCAGAGAGGTGCAATAATGAATGTCCTAAGTGCCATTCCTGAACACCCTGTCATGTCTCACGTTGGGCCAGTCTTTAATTTCTCCATTCTTTTGTAAATGTTCAATTAAAAACGTTTTTTGAGGCTGAAATAGATGTTATTGGATATTAATTGTTTTCCCTTTCTCCCTCCAGTAGGAAACACTTTCAGGTGAGTGTTCCTAGCATTGAGTCAAAAACTCGTTTCCATGATCTGTCTTCACCGCGATTTTTGTTTACTTTCGTAAGAGCAATAATAGCAGCCATGGTTGAGGACCCTCCAGGTGCCAGACACTGGGCGAGGTGCTTCATTAGGCATGATTATAAACTCCATCATAAACTCTTCTGGATGGTGGTGGCATCTCCGTCGTCTGGATAAAGAGATAGACGCTCGGTGAAGGAATGGCTGCAAGCCCATCCAGGAAATGGATGGCTGCACCGGCATTCAGATCCTGGTCTGACTGATTCCAAAGTCTATGCTGTTTTTACAATGCCAGGTCCCAGGGTGGGGCACATTGCTGAGCTGTTACTGAAGCGTAAAGACGGTGTGTGTACGATGAAGCCGTTTGTGCATTTATTTTATTTCATTTTCTAAAAAGAGCTATAAGGAAGCATAAGTCATAGTCCTACAGCATGTTTTGGGAGACTGGTCTGAGCATGCCCAAAAGCCCCTCCCAAAAGGAAACCTCACTGGGGCAAAGTAACTAAATGAAACTTGTGTATTTCATTTCCTGAGGATATTCTGGGTTGGGGCAAAGAACTCTTCTCTTTGTTCCTCTTAACCGGTGGTATTACTGTTCTGGGATGATCTTTCATGGGAAAATGTCACCTTTAGTGCTGTGTATTTGAGGGCCATGAAAGCCTCACTTTCATTCCCTGGGCTTATTTCTCACAGGAGGAGGAAGCAAGGCATAGAGGCAAAACGCTTTGGAATTAGCGGACCTGGGTTCAAATGGCAACTCTGCCGTTCCCCAGCCCTGTGCTCGTGGAAAATCCTTGACCCTCTCTGAGCCTCTGTCTTCCTCCCCTGTTTCCCAGAGGGAGACTGTGAATATCAGGTGAAAACGCAATACTCCTAGCACTGTGACTGGCCCACGGCACGTGTAAGAAATGTACAGTCCGGCCGAGTAGGCAGAGATAGTGACGAATTGGAGAACAATTATATGCCAATCCACTGTGCATCCCCAAGTGCACCCATGGTTCAGGGCTCCCAGGGAGGAAGACAACTTTATCTGGACCTTGAATAATGAGTAGGAGGAGAAATTTTAGGAAGTAGAGCAGAAACACAGGGCATTTCAGGAAAGGAACGCAGTAGCATTCGCGTACGAGCTGCATGAGGAACTTAGACGGGAGGTTCTTGGGACGAAGAGTCACCTGCCCAGGGAGCAGGGGGAGATAATAAACCCACCCAGGAGAATGTGTGATTGTCTGTAGGAGTCTGTGACGGCATGTCTTTGAGAGATTACAGTCAAGGTCATCATCCCTCGACTTAACCAAGTTGAACGCACAGAGGATTTTCCACGTTACAAAAGCAGTTGCAATAAAATCTAGTGTTTTGGATTTGGTGAGGGCTGATGTTGGAAAAGGATATCTTCTTGATTATTTCTCCCCCTTTGGAAATTAGGGGGCAAGACATGGGTGATATCATGGTTTTGGTGGATTCAGAGGAAGAGGAGGTAGAGGAGGAAGATGCGGCCGAAGACGAGGAAGAAGAGGAGGAGGAAGCAGATGAGAGGGAGGAGTTGCCAAAAGAAATACACAAGCATGGCCACATCCATCAAGTGACCGCACTGGTGAATGGGAATGTAGACTGGACGGGGAATGGACTCCAGGCTCTGCAAGGTAAGCTCTTTTTCCCTTAAAACTACCCTGCTGGGGTAAGAAATCTTTGAGTTTGGTTTTTCCCAAGGGTGGGGAAGATAGTTAAAGTTTAATCTGGCATCTGCTATCAACTCCTGACACCACAATTAAACTGACAAACATTTATCAAGGACCTGCTCTGGGAAAGGCGTGATATCAGCACTGTTTAGGGGAATAAAAAAGACCGATGATAGCTGTAAGCTGGACACTTTGCAAGACCAGGCAGGGTACACAGAGTGAAAGCTGGAGAAGATGAAAATGGAAGCAGGATCTTTTTTTTAAAAAATGTTTATTCTGAGAGAGAGAGAGAGAGCACATGCACGCACGAGTGGGAAAAAGGCAAAGAGAGAGCGAGAAAGAATCCCAAGCAGGCTCAACCTCACGAACTATGAAATCATGACCTGAGCCCCAGTCAAGAGTCAGATGCTTAACTGACTGAGCCACCCCAGGGACCCCAAAATGGAAGCAAGATTTAACCATCAATTTGAGACAGCACTTTGATTAATTGTCAGATGAACGATAGGTTTAAAAATAACAGGACCTCAGAGAGAGGTGAGTCCCTTGAGGGGTACATTAGTCGGGAGGAGCTTAATGGCAGAAGTATGATATGAGGCAAATCCTTCAGAGCAATTGAGTTTGAATAAGCAGAAAGGAGAGAGTGAGAGTATTTCAGGTGAAGAGAACGGCATCAACCGAGTTTATGCAGCATCAAGCGTGTCTGGAGGATTCTGAGTGAAAAGAACAGGAGAGGGGCTCAGTTGGTTGAGTGTCCGACTCTTGATTTTGGCTCAGGTCATGATCTCACAGTTCGTGAGCTCAAGCCCCGCATCGGGCTCTGTGCTGTCAGCGTGGAGCCTGCTTGGGATTCTCTCTCACTCCTCTCTCTCTGCCCCTCCCCTCCTCTCTAAATAAATAAATTTTAAAAAAAGAACAGGAGAAAACGGGGAGCACATGCCCTGCCCCACCTGCTCCCCCACGAAATTCAGTTCTGAGGCTCTCCAGTAAAGGACTAGAAATTGCAATGACTGAAACCTGATGGTGGAGATGGAGTCCTCTCTTGTCGGCCTCCATCAGACTCAGATCGGCTTTTCCCTTCCTGTCCAGATGACAGCAGCGAGGAGCAGAGTGACATCGTTCAAGAAGAAGATCGGCCAGTTTGAAGAAGAGAGAATTGCCCTCCGTTACCCTGTCTTGAAAGCTTTGACTGACTTGCACCCCTGCCTGAGGGCTTAAAATGGTTTGGGACTCCCATCAAAAAGGAAAAACACACACACATATATTTCCTTCCCCCCCACCCCCACACTGGTTTGACTTGCTGTGAGTTTTCTCATTGATGTTAAAAAGTATTGGAACGGGCAGTGTGTGGGGGAAAGGTGCAGTCGGCATCTGAGGTGCCCTTTTTCACTGTGACTTCTGGCTTTATCCAGCTTGACTGATGCTGATCTGGGGGAAGCAGGGGTAGGGGGAAGCCCTTGACCTCAGTGCTCAGGGCTCGCAGTGCACTATGAAGGGTCTGTGGCCATCTTGCCCCCAACACACAAGGGAATAGCATGGGGCCCCTGCCCAGGTAAGCTGGAGAATGAGGCGGACGCACCTCCCTGGAAAAGGCAAGGAGGTGTCAGTTACCCATGCTAGTCAGAGGGAGGCAGTCTGGCTCAGGTTTGGGAGTTGGAAACACCGAGGCCCGAATCTGAGCCCTGCTTCTTGTTTCACTGGCTTGGGCACGTTGCTTTACTGCTCTCCGGGGACCTCAGTTTCCTCATCCACAAAATAGGTGGAATCATACCTGCCTTACGGGGTACGGTGGGTCCTGAATAGGTACTTGTGGGTGTGAAAGCGCCCAGGAGGTGTTCAGCCGACGTTGGTGATCTGCTCCTTTGCCCTCCCTGGTGGAAGAAACAATGTCAACTGTAAATTACAAGCTGCCGCCTTGGCCTCTCCTTCTTTGTCAAATGGTTTCAGATGAGAGCTCTCCTGATGGTATTTGCTTCCCTGGAGGCATAATTCTTTTCAAAAGAGGTAGGGGCCCATAAGAGGAAGTGCCTTTCATTAGAACCTCTCATTTTTCAGGGCTTCATATTTATACAAAAGCCTCTTAGGTGATACCCTATTGGTTTTCAGAATTTCCCATTCTTCCTTTTCTCCTGTGGCTTTGAAAGAAGGCAGGAGAAATGTTTTGCAGTGGAGTATCTGGTGAGAAGCACTCCTTGGGCAGACAAGTTCATCCGGCCTCGGTTTCTAGATCTTGTAAATGGGACTGAGAAAACTTGTTTCCTTCCCACTGCCTAAGGAAGGCGATCATGAGGATACATTGATCAACGATGCGAAGTTTGAACTGAAAATAACATATGATGGGTTTAAGCTGCTGTTTCCAGATCCCTGGACAGTTGAGAGATTTTTGTTTCTCTGATTTCGTCCAAACCTCTTAAACGTCAGGGACCTAATAAGGGTGCAAAAGATGTGTGCTAACCCTGAAAATCTGACGACTTGAGTTTGCGCTCCTTAATGTTCAGATCCTGCCTCATGGGTAAGACCTGGGGCTTAATGGAGAACTTCCTTTCTCCAGTAACAGGGACTAGAACTCCTGGAAGATGAGAAACTGGTTATTTGTAGGGTTACCCCACAGGTGTCGTTGGCATAGTTCTATTTTCTTGGATGAAAAGACTGCGCAAAATCACTAGGAGTGAGTCCTGTCCCCAGTTCAGAACCCTGGCGATCACAAGAGCTGGCTGCAATTTCTAGCCCTCAGGAATCGCCATGGCCTGCTAACGGTCCTTACATGCTGGGTCTTTCGCTCCACCGTATTTCAGTACTTAACCACTCCAGCCAGTCTAAGTTAACATCGTTTCAGAACAGGAGACTGGAGTTACCGCTAAAGTCACTGAACACTGAGCTTGTCTCCCTTTAGAATCTTCCGTGATTTCAATTCCTGAAGAGTCCACTCTGCAGAGGCAACCGTATTGAAAAAGAGAAAAAGAAAAGAAAAAAAGGAAAAGAAAAAATCCCTGGGTAGGAACACAGGGAATGATTGGCAGGATCACTGAGCTGCTTTTCCAGAACTTCCCTCTTCTCTTGCACACACGCCTGATGATAGAAAATCTTCAGAGCGGGGTTGTTCCACTAGCAATAGGGGCTTCAGGCTCTTGTTGTCAAACACTATAAACGCTAGGTTAGCTGAGCCACGACTTCTGTCACTTATATCTGAGCCCTATCTGCACATTACTAGAGCTGGGTCAATTAAGAGCACACGTACTGGGGTTCTTCAAGCTTTAAGCATTTTTACAGAATTCGGGCTTGCTTTTCTTTTAAGACGACCCCCAGCCCCAAAACTACAAGCACGTTGACAGTGGGTTACAAAATCTGTGTGGCAAAGTCCAAGCTGTTAAGTTGCGCTGTTATACAATCTTAACTGAACGTATTGTGAACTCCGTATCAGAAGCAGGAAGATAAATACTAAAGGGCTATCACAACTGACATTTCAACAGGGGACACAGGGGAAGGGCTCCCGCAATCCTGTGGCTTTGATACTCATCTGCATTCTCACAAGCACACACAGGCCCTGTTACTGCAGGAAACCCGTGATGGAAAACTTCCAGAACCCATGCACTGAAACCTGGAAAAGCATCCTTGCCGGGTAAAGTTCATCATGATGCAGTAAGTGCCAACTGGTAGTTCTCACCACGGGCACTGGCCAGGAACTGCTGCAAAGAAAAATTAGCAGATCCCTCTGCGTTATTTACATTGTAATAGTTGGTGTCTGTGTTTTGGGGGGATGGGTAAGAGAAATTTATTCTGAGGTTATAATGTGGATTTTTAAAAAAAGATTATGGAATAAAGTTATTTTTAAGTAAATGTTTTAATGATCTTGATTTAGACCATTAGTAAACTGAAAGATTTAGAGAAATGGGTTTACTTTCCCCAGTTTCTTTTGTTTTTTGGGGTTTTTGTTTGTTTGTTTTTTTTACTAGCTTTCCCCATATTGGTAACAATAATAGTGGTCTCATTGCTGTTTTTTTATTTTCCTGATAGGTCCTGTCTTACGTTTACTGAGACATCCCCACCTTTCCTAATCTCCCTGAGAAACTTGTTCTTCCGTTATTATTTTTTTCCTCCCTGTATATGCCTCTGTTTTGGTCAGACTGCCTTTGAACATGAAAGGGCTGGCGTGGACCACAGATCTGCTGGACTGCCTTAAAAGACCATTTCTATCAGCTTTCCCTGTGGTAGGTGGTGGTCTTGGATTTCTTCATAGGCTCATACTTCACACTTGAGGCCCCTTTCCTAGAATGGCCCGGGCTACACCCCAGTCCTTAGAACAGGCTTCCAGCCAGTCTTCCTCTTAGGTCATTCCTCCTCCAACCCCCGCCCCCCCATACCTCTTTCCGCAGTGGCTCCAGTCTCCCTCCCCAATGCCCCCTCAATGCTCCCCAGCTCTTTATCACAGCTTTCCCACCTTCACTTCCTTTCTAACCAAACCCATGCTTCCTGCCTTAACCCCAGGATCCCATGTTCCTTCCAACCCAGCCCACCCCTTTTTAACGTGTACTTATTTTTGAGAGAGACAGAGACAACATGAGCGGAGAGGCAGAGAGAAGGGGAGAGCAGGAATCTGAAACAAGCTCCAGGCCCTGAGCTGTCAGCACAGCCAAACCTGGGGCTCAGGGCTGGAGCTCACCAAGTGAGATCATGACCTGATGCTTACCGGTCTGAGCCACCCAGGCACCCCCAGCCCCTCCCTTTTAATATGTGTGGGTTTAATCAGAGCCGGTTTCGGAGCCCCCAGTTGTACTTCTGGCTGTTTCACTTCTCTCCCGGCTGTTCCTGAGCACCCCCTTTTGTGACCTTCAGTCCTTCTAGGTCACGGCCATTTTCACCCAGCTTGGCCATTTTTGGACCCCCACTCTTCTTGGATTCCCCCCTTCTTTTCTGGCCGGCTGCCCCATTCTGACCACCCATTTTTACCTTGACCTGGTCGTTCACCTCACCAGCCTCCACTGGGCTTGTCCTTCGTTCCCATTTTTAAAAACCTGCAGCTTACACCTTCCTCTGGTCCTCGGCTTTCATCCCGGCCCCTGGGCTCAGCTCCTCTACCTGGGCTCCCTCCCATGTAACCTTTTGAGCTCCGGGCCTCTGCGCCCCCATTTTATTCTCCAGGATAGTTCCTTCCCTCCCATCTTCTCACCAGCCCGGGGGTTCCCGGACCCCCTCCTCCAATTCTGTCCGAGGCCTTCGCTTTTTGTCCCTCCCCCTCCCCCCCAATATCCCTGATCCCTGGTGTCCTCGTTCTCGTGCGGCAGTCTCCTGCCCATTCGCTCCCCCTTCCTCTTCACCTGGTTCCCACCCCCTCCGGGTTTCTCCCCGCCCCATCCCTCCGCCGCACCCCCTTTTCTACCCTCCCCCCTCCCGTTGTCACCAGCCGCATTCCTTCCGCTCCCGGTTTCCCTTCCGCCCCGTTCCTTCCCACTCCGTTCCTACCCCTCCCCCGCCTCTCTTCATTCCCCCCCACCCACCCCGGCCCTCGGCTTTAGCCTGCCCGGCTCACCTGTCCCCCTCCCCCCTGCTTTCCCTCAGCCCCGCCCCCTGGTTTGTATCCGGTCAGCGTTCACCTGCCTGTCCGCCCGTTTTCCCTCCGGCCCCGCCCCCTGGTTTTGTCCCGTCCGCCGCCACCCCCACCGCTTTCCTCTCGGATGCGTAACCCTACCCACCCCGTTTTATCCTGCACCCCGGTTTCCTCTAGGTCCCCCTTCGGTTTTATCTTGCCCCCTTCCTCGGTTTTCCCCCAGGCCCCGCCTCCCGTCGCCCCGCCCCCCGCGCGTCCCCGCCCGCGCCCGCCGCCATGTGACGGGAAGCAGCTGATGGCCTCTCCGGGCGGCGGCGGCGGCGGCGGCGGGCGCGGCGGGCGCGGCGGCGGGGCCGGGGCCGGGGCCGGGGCCGGGGCCGGGGCGGGCGGCGTGGGGGCGGCATGAGGGCCGGTGGCCCGGGGGGCTGAGGCGCCCGCCGCCTGCCGCAGGGCCGCACGCGTCCTCCATGGAGGCCGGAGGTGAGCGGGGTCGCGGCGCGCGGGTTCCCGCCGGGCGGGGCCGGGCCCGTTCTCCCGGGGGGCGGGCGGGGGCGCGGGCTCGGCCGTGGGAGGGGCGCGGCGGGGGGCGCGGGGCCTGGGCGGTCCGCGCGGGCCGGCGGCGGGGGGCGCGCCCGGCGCCCAGCTTTGTTTCACTTTCGCTGTCAGCGGCCGCCACCCGGTCTCCCGCCCGCCGCGGGAAGGACCGGAGGAGCACGGACCACTGCGTGCCGGGGATCCCCGTCCCCCAGGACAGTGGGGGGGGGGGGCTCCCGAGGCTCGATGCCTACGCCCAGCGGGGTGGGGAGGGGCGCCAGGCTCTGGGGGAGGGCGGTAATACCCAAGGGGGTGGATGCCCAGGTACCAGGTGACGCACTTGCAGGTCTGGGTGGGAGTCCGCTCTGCCCCTTGCAAGCAGTGTGATCGTGGACGGACTGCATAACTCAAGTCTGTTTTGTATCTGCAAAATGGGGTAATAATAGTACGTGCCCCAGGGGGTGGTTGGGAGCTTTCCAGACTTGCGTAGTCATAAGAATGGGGTCCGGGGTCCCTATTAAAAAAATCTATTGCGAGCCTCCCCCAGTGGAGGCTGATTCGTAGATATGGGGTGGGGCTGGGGGATGCTGATCCTCGCTGGCGTGTTTGATGGGGCAAGTGTGGGAAACCCTGATGGGTGAGGTTCATGCCTCTATCCTTGTTAACAGCTGTCATCAGAAGACGGTGTGGAAGTCTGAGAATATCCACACTTGGAGAGTCAATCCAAATGAACATGTCATCTCAGAGTGCTTGTTATGTGTGCTTGTTATGCAAAAGCAAAGCCTCCAGGTTCTCTCTCTGTCTTCTCCCTTTTGCCCACTTTGCCTTTAAACCCCACGTATACAGAAATTTGGGGTGGGCCTAGGGTTTGTTCTGGGACTTCCAACTCTTGAATATATCCCCCCGTGCTTAAAGGCGGTTTTTTTAGGGGAAATTCTCAAGACGGGTCAAGGCCTAGGCTTCAGAATTTGTTCCAGAGCCTCTCTTGGTATGCTTCCAGCGAAGTTCACGCTACATCTTGGCCTGGAGAATTCTGATTGTTGATGTTTGCGTTTCCCAGGCTTGTTTGATGGAGCCTGGGATTGTGGGTGGGTAGGTTCAAATCAGGGTGCTCCCTGGGGTGGTGTAACTTTTTAATTTGGGAAATGACATTTCTTTGTTTGCCCTGGTCAGGCATTCAGTAAAAGGTGTAGAGGCGGCTCTCTTTGCCTTCCCATCCAGATAAGGGCTTTCTTTTCAGTGAGTGTGTTACCACTTTTTAAATGGCCCCTACTGTTTGTCTGAATCTTATGTGAATCTTTTTATAGCTTCTGCTGTTGTTTCCATTGACTCCTTATAGTTAAAACTGAAAGCGATCTGTGGCAAGCCTCCCTTTTTAGCTGGAATCTGTTTCCAGTTCTGAGTTTTTCCTGATGATTGACGACTGTGTGTTGGGGTGTGGGCAGAACTGTTGAGAGCTGCCAAGTTACTGTTTAAAAAAAAAAAAGACCAGAGAGTTTTACGTTCTTTTGAAACTGAATAAAGCCCATTGTAATGGGATTACAATGGACAACAGTAGATATCTTCAGAGCAGTGGTTAGAATTCATTTATTCTTTCGACAAATATTTATTGAGTATCTATTGGGACTCTCTAGGCCAGCACCAGTCGATAGAAATATAATGCCACATCTGGAATTTAGAATGTTCTAGTAGCTGCATTAAAAAAAAGTGAAACCAAATTTAAAATTGTATCCATCAATCCAACATATATAACATATGTCAACCTGATTATTGATATATTTTAGATTTCTTTGGTACTAAGTTCAAAATCTGTTGTGTGTTATATATTTAACAGCCCATCTTAATTCGGACTTGGCATATTTCAGATGGTCACTGGCCAAGTGTGGCTAGTGGTTACTGTAGTGGACAGTGCGGCTCGGGGGTGAGCAGATACGCACGTTTGGGGTGTGGGTGGGGAAGAGAGAGGCCGTTGACTACATAAAAACAAGTGAACAATCGAGAAAAGATGAGTGGTGCCCATATAATTAAATGGGGTGAAAAGAAAAGAGACTGACTGAGCCACTTTAGATAGCGAGATCAGGAAGGTCTCTGAGAATGTGACATCAGCACCGAGCCCCCGAGTGGTTGGACGGAGCAGGCAAAGAGCTGGGGCCTGCCAGGCTATTTCCCGGGCCAGCGGAACAGCTAATGTCAAGATCATGAGGCCGGACAAATCCCCAAGCTTCCCGCTGATTGGGAGTCATAGTGTTCTTTTCTGTGCTCAGGTGACTCTCCTTGCACAGAAGCAGCCCATAATAACTATCTTTCCATTCAGCCTATTTGTCCGAGTACATCCCGATGGTTAAGTAGAAAACCCTGATCACTAAGAAAGGCCACAGAAGGTACAATTCCAGATGAAGGCTGGATCCTCTTGGCTCTGGTTTTTTGTTTTTTTTTTTTGGGGGGGGGGGGTCGTTTTGTTTTTTAAGTTCTGCATTAATTATAGCTTCCCGCCCCCACCCCCAGCAGCCAAGGGCTCAGACTCCCCTTCAGAATTTCTTTAGTTCTAGAAACGAAGAGCTAGGAGTCACTGAGTTTTTTTTCTTCTCTTAGCTCCTGAATTCCTGAGCCTGAAATAGCAGGGATTAAATCTCCATCTTACAGAAATAGAGTGTGAAATCTGGGTATGGCTCATGTTTAAGAAGCATTTCATGTGAAATGTTTGGCATAGGCATCATAATACTTTAAGGGGCTTCATTTTGTTTATATTTAAAGAGGTATACCCTGTATATTTAATCAGCAAATACTGCCTGCCTGCCTGTTCTCTGCCAGGATCTCTGCTACGCCCTAAGGATAAACATACAAGGTCCCTTGTAGCATGGAGTCGGTGCCTTGGTTGAGGGGAGACAGATACTCCTCATCATGGTGATTGTGCTCTGAAGAACACAGTGTCGAGCAGTGGAGGAGATTGACTTGGGGGCAGAGAGGAGCTCTCTAAGGAGTTGGTGTTTGAGCCAAGACTGAATGAAGAGAAGGGGCCAGTTATGGAAGGGCATTCCAGGCAAAGAAACTAGCTGGTGCAAAGGCCCTGAGGTCAGAACTAATTGGGCACAGTCAAGGGATGAGTGAAGGCTGGAGCCAGGGGCAGGGAGAGGAAAGTCATAAGCCCAGGTGGGAGATGAAGGCAAGGGGCCAGGTTATGTGGAACTTCAAGGGCACAATAGAGTCTGAGTTTTATTCTAAGAGTCGTTGAAACCCATCGCTCTAGGAAGTGAGGAGAATGGGTGGTGGGGGCCAGAGCGGAAGCTAGGAGAGCAGTTGGAAGGCCACTCAGTGAGAGGTGATGTTGAAATGGTTTGCATAGATTAGAATCGTAGCCATGGAGATAGAGAAGTTAGGTTTGCCAAGTCTTTTGGAAACAGCCTTGATAAAACTTGCTAATGGATTTGGTTTGGGAAGGAAAGAAAGAGAAGTCAAGGAGGACCCCTCTTTATATTGTGTAAAGCCTCCATGATGCATATTGTGGAGGAAGTGACCCAAGTGTGAATATTATCAGGGTGGAATAAAGACGTTTTCACCTAATAGATAAAAATGTGCCTGTGGATCAGTCGGTTACATCCAAGTTGTCCACCCTCCGCTCTATCGACATTCTAAGCAAAATAATCCCTCGTTGGGGGGGAGGCTGTCTTGGGCGCTGTGGGGTGCTTGGCAGCCTCCACGGCTTCTGTTCGTTAGGTACCAGTAGGGCCAGCCCCACTCGTGGCGACCAAAATGTCTCCAGACATTGTCATGTGTCCCCAGGGGCAAAATGCGTTGAGAAGCACTGGATCACACGAAGGAGGCATTGACAGGTCAGGGCTAGGCCACCAGCAGGAAATATCCAGGAACAATGAGAATGGAGGCAGCTCCACAGGGTTGCTGGGTAACGTTGAGAGACCTGTGTTGGATTTAAAATGTAAAGTAGGGGCGCCTAGTGGCTTAGTCCGACTTTCTTTCGCTTAGGTCATGATCTCGCAGCTCGTGGGTTTGAGCCCCCGCATCGGGCTCTGTGCTGACTGCCAGCTCAGAGCCTGGAGCCTGTTTCAGTCTGTGACTCCCTCTCTCTCTGACGCTCCCCTGCTCATGCTGTCTCTCTCTCTCCTAGAAATAAATAAAACATTTAAAAAAAAGTAAAAAAAATAAAATAAAATAAAATGTAAAGTAACTTCTTGCCATGCAAAATATTCCCATCCAAAGGAGTGTGCTCCTATAGACCAATAATTGCGTAAGTGAAAAGATCCCCTGTGCAAACATGTACAGATTGCTAAGAGGAATTAACCTATGCGAATAACAATTTAGATAGACCTAATGTACTTAAACCTAGATTTATATGCAGAACCTCAGAAATGACTATTTCTCTGCCAAGGAACTTCTTAAATTTTCTTTAAATAGCAAAGCCACCAAAGGCTTGATACGATTAACATGCTATTTAAAGAGAGAATCTTCAGCAACACATTTATTTACTAGCACAAGATAATACCCACATCTCCTACAACGCATATACCAGGAGATGTTATATACACATACATGCGTCTCTCTATGTATACATATTTGCCACCTGTTTTATTGAGCACAAGATACCAAGGTTCATATGTATCACTGAGAAAAAATACTGCCTATTTAACTATAAAAATTTCTTGTTTGTAAGATCTATCCTGATTTCAGTGGTCATAGATCTGAGAAGACCTGTAAAGATGTGTCCTAAACGGTATGAAGTAGGGGCTGTTTAAATTAGTGTCTATCTGGTAACAGGTATAAAAAGGGTCCAGGTCTTGAAACTAGTGAAGTGGGAACACAGACATCAGGAAGTGACGTCATTCGGAGTGGAAGCCAGTTTTTGTATTAGTATGTATCGTAACATAATTAGTAGTCCCAAAGTCAATTCTGATTGCCTTCAGCTTACGAGCTTCCGTTGAGAACCTTTCCCCCGGAGTAGAGGCTTGAACTAGGAAATGCCCTTCAGGTAGAGGAAGAAGCAACAGTATGAACATGCCGTTCACAAGGCACTGTGCCAGAGCCCTGAGAGAAAGGAAAATGAACCCCTTTTGGTGTTTGAACAAGGGGGCTTAAGTTCAGGTGGAGGGCAGACCAGAGGGAGATTAGGATCTACGGGAGACAGTGAAGTCATCGGGGTGGGACTCATTCCCCCTCTGGTAGAGCTCGGGATGTGCGCTCTGCATTCTCAGAAGTCCAGGTGTGAATGCCAGCCAGCTGCTTGGGGCCTGGCCTTGTGACTCCTGTGGCCAGAGGTCACGGAAAAGAGGCGGGGCTGGTGGTCTGGGGTTCAAGGCCCAGGCTCCGCCCTTACTGCGTACACAGGTGGGAGCCTGGAATGTGTCTGAGAGAAATGTCGCGATGTGACCCGTGTTTCAGTTTTAGCAGGGTCCCCAGGGCGGAGGGGACGGGGAGGAAAATCAGGAGAGCCTTGTAAAAGGTCTGGGCAAGACGGGATGAAGGTTTAAAAGCAGAACAGACAGGAGATGGCAACGCAAAGCCGGATCAAGAGGTCTGAGCCGCAGGAAGCTGGGTGAGCGCTGAACATGTCAGCCTCCCTGATGGGGAGGATGCTGGTGAATGCGAGGGAACCTTCTCGTGTCAGATGCTCCTCCTTTCACCCGCTTCCGGGGTCTTTGAGGAGACCTTAAATACCTTTGAAGGCCTCCTGATCAGCACGTCTAGCATGGGCCAGCCTGGTCCGCCTCTCCCCTTTCTTCCTCTTCCAGCATTCTTAGGAAAATGAGGCCCCCATTCACTGGGTTCACTGGCACAAAGGTTACTCTGAGTCACGGTTAACCAGCGGTAGCCAGTGCCAGAACTGAGTAACCGCACTGGAATGTGGCCCGTGGCTACTGCTATTGCCACAGGTCATTTAAATGACAACTCCCTCCGGAATCTGGAATCCAGAGTATCACCCAGTGCCTTGGGGAGACCTCGGCTTTCCTGGGTCCTTCCTGGGTCCGAGTCAGCGACGTGGTCTGGAGCCCGGCTCGCCCCTTGCCCGGGGAAGTGAGGGTGCTTGTCTGAAGCATGCTGTCTCCCGTCACAGAGGAACCGCTGCTGCTGGCCGAGCTCAAGCCCGGGCGCCCCCACCAGTTCGACTGGAAGTCGAGCTGCGAAACCTGGAGCGTGGCCTTCTCCCCAGATGGTTCCTGGTTCGCGTGGTCTCAAGGACACTGCATTGTCAAGCTGATCCCCTGGCCACTGGAGGAGCACTGGTAAGTCCCCAGGTACCCAGACCCAGAGGAGAGAGGGAGTTCTCCCAGAGGGGAACTTGAGAGCGCTCTCCCAGGTCACTCCCTTCCCTTGCTGGGTCTTCCTGCCCAGGAGCAGGAGAGGGGGAGTGGCCGCACCGTTGGGGAACTGATCCTTGGGGTTTCTGGAGCCCCACGTTGGGCACGTGTGAAAATCCATCCAGTGGAGATGATGTTAGCCCTGCCGTCATTCTTTAACAGCTTTAGCGAGCTGTAATTTACATACCATACAATCTGCCCGTTTAAAGTGTACAGCTCGGTGGCTCCCAGTAGATTCACAGAGTTGTGCAACCATCCCCACGGTCAGTCTCAAAACCGCTGTCCTTGCTCCAGAGAGAGAGCCCACATCCCTTAGTTGTCGTCTTCCAGTCTCCATTCTCCAGCCCCGAGCAGCCACTAATCCACTTCCGCCTTTACACATTTCCTCCTGCTGGACATTTCACGTAAATCGAATCGTATACCGTCTAGGCTTTTCTGACTGCTTTCTTGCATTTAGGATAGTGTTTTCAGTCATCCACGTTACAGCACGTACCTGTACTTTGTTTCCTCTTATTGCTGGATAATACTCTCATTATGTGGAGACCGAACATTTTGTGTGTACATCTGTCTGTTGGTGGACACTTTGGTGGCTTTCCCTTTCGGGCTGTTACGAATAACGCTGCTGTGAACGTTTATGTGTAGGTTTTGGCGTGGACTTACGCTTTCAGTGTTTTCACCGCGTGAGGAGCAGACTGTTGCTCAGGGGGGGATGTAGCGTTCTGCAGTCCCACCAGCAATGTGTCATTTCCACATCCCCTCCAACACTTGTTATTGTCTGCCTTTCTGATTGGGGCGGAGCCATCCTGGTGGGGCGGGAAGCGGCTTCTCGTTGTTTGGATTTGCGTTTCCTGATGGCTTCTGACTGAGCACCTTTCCTTACGCTTCTTGACCCGTCACATATCTTCTTTCGAGAAATGTCCTGGGGCGCCTGGATGGCTTAGTCGGTTAAGCATCCGACTGTCGCTTAGGTCATGATCTCGGGGTTCATGGGTTCGAGCCCCGCGTCGGGCTCTGTGCTGACTGCCAGCTCAGAGCCTGGAGCCTGTTTCAGTCTGTGACTCCCTCTCTCTCTGACCCTCCCCTGCTCATGCTGTGTCTCTCTCTCTCCTAGAAATAAATAAAAAAAAAAAAAGAGAGAGAAATGTCCATATACATTCTTTGCCCATTTTGTTTTTAAATGTTGGTTTATTTTTGAGAGAGTGCGAGTGGGGGAGGAGCAGAAAGAGAGGGACAGAGGATCTGAAGTGGGCTCTGCACTGACAGCATTGAACCCGATGTGGGGCTCGAATTCACGACGGAGATCATGACCTGAGCTGAAGTCCAATACTCAACTGACTGAGCCACCCAGGCGTCCTCCATTTTTAAATTGGGTATTTGGTTTTCTCTTATCGTCCAAGTTTAGTTTGTGATATTGACTACTTTTGTTCTGTGGGCTGGACGGGTCCCAGTGTCTAAATGCTGTGAGCCCAGCATTTGCCTTTTATTATTTGTGGCCGGCACTTCCTTGTCGGCCTTTATTTAGCCAGCATTTGTTGGAAATCTTTGCCCCACACTGAGCCAGGGGCTGAGAATCCTCAAAGAAATCCAGCACGGCCCCTGCCCTTGAAGGTCTCATTTGTTTTGCGTTAGGCGTTTCTTATACATCGTGCATTAGATTTCAGTGTTTCCTGAGTTCAGTCTGAAGCTCGTTGTCTTGATGACAAGCACTGCTTGCTGACATGAGCTCGCTGAGATGGTACCCTGCACACTGCTGGGTTCGAGGGGTGTCCCTTTGGCTGTTTGGGAGGATGCACCGAGGACCTCAAAACTCTTCTCCCGGCTACCAGGGATCTCGGAAATGGGGTCATCTATTTACATAAAACTAGAAATCCCTTAAAATCCAGTGATGAGAGGATGGTAAAGGAACTTAAGGCAATGTCATAGGATGTTTTTTGCTTCCATGTGAGATGTTTTTGCCTTAATCATGATTTTCAGTTCCTTCCGTGTGGTCATTTTAATGAGAATACCAAGGCAATTCTTTTTTCTTATTGAGCTCTTACTCTGGATACAGGAGACTCAACCTTATATCCAGTCTGGGGTGAATTCAGTCAGAAAAAGAATTTTTATAGAAAGCATAAAAATGGAAACTGGTTTTCCAAAAATCACTCATATCCAAATGAATACATTACCACAGGTAAATATCTCCTTCCAGTATAAACTTCAGAAAATGGAAATTGGAGTATTAATCCTTTTTGTGTGTCTGTTGTTTAAATATAACAAGAGAAATGTTACTGTTTAGTATGTCAGATGAGAAGTTACTTGTTTTAGGGGAAAAATCACACATTGTGAAGAATAGTAACTTAGGAAAATGCTTATAAGGTTTACTGGAAAAGAGTAAGCTATAGAACTATATATGTAATGTGGTCCCAAATTTGTCTTTTAAAAATGTATGGGCGCTTCGGTGGCTCAGTCGGTTAAGCATCCAACTTCTGTTCAGGTCATGATCTCGCAGTCTGTGAGTTAGACCCCTGTGTAGGGCTCTGGGCTGTCAGCTTAGAGCCTAGAGCCTGCTTCAGATTCCATTCCCTCTCTCTGTGTTCCTCCCCCACTCACACTTTGTCTCTCTCTGTCAAAAATGAATAAACCTTAAAAATTTTTTTAAATATATGTACATACACGTAAGTAAAAACTGATAGTGAAGTGTTTACTCTGGTTAGAGTGGTGTTACGATTATGGGTAACTTTTATGTTATTGTCTCACTTCCAAATTTTTACCATAGTTCTCCATTATTTTTATAATTTAAAATAATGGGTATTCTAAAAGTCCTTTAAAAGGGGAGCTCTGAGGTCTTTATAGTCTTGTTTGGATTGTTAGACATTAAAAAAACTTAATAGCACTTTGGGTATTGAGCAAATAATTGATACTATCCAGATAATTGTATTTTAATAATTTAAAAAAAGTTTTTAGAAGCTTGAATTGCAGTGAGGTTATATTCCCCCATGACTCTCCCTTGCCCTTTGCTGTCCCCTTCCCATGCACCCCCCCCCCCCATCTGTGTAACTCAAGGGAGTTGATTCAGTGGCCAACTGCAAAGTCCAAGGGATCTGTTGAGTAGTGGGCTTGGATACCCAAGACTTAAGTTCCTGTTCTGCCCCTGATTGTGTGACCCTAGGCAAGTTAACTATACCCCTAAAATGGAGGCTTTATTATCTCTTTCTAGAGAAAGTAAATTTATGATACCTAAATGAATTAATCTGCAGATATGCCTCGGGGCGCCTGGGTGGCTCAGTCAGTTAAGAGTCCAACTTGGGCTCAGGTCATGATCTCATGGTCCTGAGTTTGAGCCCCATGTCAGGCTCTGTGCTGACAGCTCAGAGCCTGCTTCGAATTCTTTATTTCCCTCTCTCTCTGCCCCTCCCTTGCTCACTCTGTCTCCTTCTCTCTCAAAAAATAAACAAACATTAAAAATAAAACTACAGATATGCCTTAAATTCCTTTGGAATAAAATAGCTACTACAGATTATTCCTTAATTCCTAAAGACAGAAATTAGGATTCTGTGAAAAACAAATGTACACCTTTGGTGGTTCCCAGGTGTCTTACAAAGCTTTCCCTGTAGCTTCTTCCCTGGGTGACAGACTCGGGTCCCTGTACCAGGGCCTGGCAGGTCTACGAAGTGCGTGGCTTGAGGAGGGTCAGTCGAAAACACATTCATTATCACATTCAGATGTGCGTCAGGACAACAGGGTTTCAAACTGCATTTGGCTACTGAGACCTGGGATCAGCAGACTGTTTTTGTTTTGTTTTGTCTTTATCTTATTTTGAGAGAGAGAGCGAGTGGGGAAGGGCAGAGAGAGAGGGAGACACAGAATCCGAAGCCGGCTCCAGACTCTGAGCTGACAGCACAGAGCCCGACGCGGGGCTCAAACCCACAGACTTAGATCATGACGTTAGCCAAAGCCGGACACTTACCTGATGGAGCCCCCCAGGCGCCCCTAAGCAGGCTGTTTCTGTGAAGGTGCAGATGGTAAATAGTTTGGGCTTTGCAGGCCATACAGTCTCAGTCGAAACTATTCAACTCTGCCGTTAACAGTGGAGAGTGGCCGTTGACAGTACGTGAACGAATGAACATGGTGGGTTTCCCATAAAACTTCATCTCTAAAAACAGATTGCTGGCCTGGGCATAGTTTGCCAGCCTCTGATTCTGCTGATAGAGTTTTAGAGCTGGAGGGGCCTGTGTTTGCCCTAATTTTGCCTCTTCCCTTCTAATTTTGCACGTGAGCTTGGTTACAGTTCTTTAATAGATTTCAACCACACACTTGGCAAAAATATGATCCGCTTACAGCTTTCGGGGAACAAGTCTAATACCTAAAGAGGCCCAGTTAACATAGACGCTGAGTGTGGGATTTTTCATGGAATGGAGTTCCAGCTTCATCATCCCCATTTCCCCTAGTCGGATACGCCCCAGAGTGTGGTCAGGGTCTCACAGAAAGGTAGGACTTAACACTTGCACTGAAAAAGCATACTGCAGACAGGAAACTTTGATTTTGGGGGCTGAACCCATCCCTCCCCCTGGGCTCCAACTACTCAGGCCTGGGAAGCGTGTGTGCTGGGGGAGTGGTGGGCGGGGCCTGTGTTTCACCGGAAGTACGGAGGGGGTCCGGCCTCAGGATCTTGGAGGTGGGTGCAGTTCTGTGGGCTCTTTCCCTCCTTGATCACCCCGCTGGTCAGTTCCTATGCTGGATGTACCGTCAGCGAGGTAAATGGAAGAGCCTCACTGATTGGTTGGAACATAAAGCGACTGAAGGTAGAAATCAACCTGTACCCAGCAAACTGTGCTGGCCAGAAAAGGGGTCGTTTTCCCGCTCCTCGGGGCTTTCTGGGCTCGAGATAAAGGGGCTCATCAGGCAGGGGAACAGCAGATGGGTGTTCGAGTTCTAAGATCTGTCCTAGTTCCACACCTACAGCGAGCTTTCTTCCTCATTGGGAAACACTGAGTATCTTTCCTTCCATGCACCAAACCCGAGAGAACTTTCTGAGGAAGCATATGGCTCCCTGGGGCTTCTGTGACCTAGTTCTCCCACAAGGCAGGTCACCCCGTTGCAGGCCCATCACAGATGGGATGAACCAAGGCTAATGAAGTCTCCGTCACATGAATTCTAAAAAGAAATGAAAAGTCCTGCCAGAATTCACGGAATTCTGGAAGGCCAATTTGTTTCTAGAACTTTAATGTCTTAGATATCCTAGAATGAAACATTGGTTGCCTTGGTGACAATTTTAGACTCATTCAGAGATCTCTGCTTCCTCCAGCATCCCTAAAGGGTTTGAAGCCAAAAGCCGGAGCAGCAAAAATGACACCAAAGGGCGGGGCAGCCCAAAGGAGAAGACTCTGGACTGTGGGCAGATCGTCTGGGGTTTGGCCTTCAGCCCGTGGCCCTCCCCACCCAGCAGGAAGCTCTGGGCACGCCACCATCCCCAGGTGCCAGATATCTCTTGCCTGATCCTCGCTACGGGACTCAATGATGGGCAGATCAAGATTTGGGAGGTGCAGACAGGTAGGTCATTTCTGGCTGGGACGAGGTCCGGGTGTGCACGTGCTCATCAGAGACCAGAGGGGCCGCCAGGGCCCCCCCCCCCCCCCCCGCTGGCTGAGGGGTGTGGCCGTGGCCGTCAGACTGGGTGCTGCCTCCCTCCCACTGACTGACTGCCTCTGCTCCCATGCCAGGGCTCTTGCTTTTGAATCTTTCCGGCCACCAAGATGTCGTGAGAGATCTAAGCTTCACACCCAGCGGCAGTTTGATTTTGGTGTCGGCATCTCGGGATAAGACTCTTCGCATCTGGGACCTGAATAAACACGGTATGGAGGTGATGGAGGGTATGGAGGTGATGGAGCCGCCGGGCAGCTCCGCAGACGCCGTATTCGCCCCTTTCTCCACGTGACCGGTGTCGCTTTTGTCTAGAATAGTGTTTCTCAGCCAGGTTTCCTACAGGGTCTTTCAAGACATTTTTTTCTAATCACACACCTTCCTTGTCCCCACGAGATACTAATGTCGAGAATATACCATTTACTTAGGCACTGAGTGCATATCTGTGCATATAAGAAAAGTAAGATTTCACCCCTATTGAAAATACATGACAGAGTATAGGCTTTTTAACCACAGCACCTTTGACGTTTTGTGCACAATAATTTTTTTTTAAAGGTTTATTTATTTTTAAGAGAAAGAGAGAGAGAGAGGGAGACACAGAATCCAAAGCAGGATCCAGGCTCCGAGCTGTCAGCACAGAGCCTGATGCGGGGCTTGAACCGACAAACTGTGAGATCATGACCTGAGCTGAAGTTGGACGCTTAACTGACTGAGCCCCCCAGGCGCCCCATGCTCAGTAATTCTCTGTTCTGGGCTGTCCTGTGTGTTCTGGGAGTTGAGCAGCACCCTGGCCCCTACGCATTAGGTACCAGGCACACCTTCTCTGGTTCTGACACCCAGAATGTCTCCAGACACAACGCCCTGTCCGTGTGAAGGGCAGAGTCTCCCCAGGTTGAGAACCACAGGATCCAGAAGAAGTCCTCCCTGCGGGATACTTCCTATCAGAAATCAAGTTTCTCTTGAAATCTTTGCCTAGAAGAAATCTCTTAGGCTCCGGAGGGTCAGCTTCTGCGGAATTGTGCTGTGAGCAGAACCGCCTACAGAGGTGGCCCAGCAAAGGATTCCATACATCTCCAGGGTTGAGCTGCAACTGGAAAGGTGACATAGGGAAGGGGAATTTATCACCAGGCCATTTCTTCCCCACGTGGGCAGGGACACAGGAGCCGGAGGGAGGTGGAGGGAGGAAATGGCCACGTGGACGGTTGGTGAAGAGGTGCCCGTCCCCGGTAACACGGAGGCACCGGTGCTCTTGCCTCAGCTGTGACGGGGCCACGAGCTACTCCTGCCCTCTTCGAAGTGAGCCTGATGACTTGTCACATAGCCAGGGAGGTGCTTGTGGTGTCCTTATTCAGGGGCCTCTGGTCACCAAGAGAACTTGAAATCACAAATGGGTCTGCTGCCTGGGAAGGCTCCTCTGTGGCAGCAGCATTTTTAATGTGTCGTGAGGCAGCTTGTTGCCACCATCCAAGGAAGGCCCTGGAAGCGACTCTAAAATCTTTTGGTGGTCAGGGGCGCCTGGGTGGTTCAGTCGGTTGTGTCCAACTTCGGCTCAGGTCATGATCTTGTGGTTCGTGGGTTCGAGCCTCACTGTGCTGAGAGCTCAGAGCCTGGAGCCTGGTTTGGAATCGGTGTCCCCTGCTCTCTCTGCCCCTTGCCTGCTCGCACTCTGTCTCTCTCAAAAATAAACAAACAATAGAAAACATTTTTTTTTTAAAGTAATAAAATCTTTCAGTGGTTGGGAAGGCAGGACTGGCTGAAGGGGACCGGGAGCGGGCGAGCGCACTGGAGCTCCCAGGAGGGGAGAGGATCAAGTAGTGTCCCAGGTCCCGGGCCTGGCCCTGCTGTCCTGCCTGAATTTGTTCAACACCCACAGCCCCACTGCGGGAGGTGCTGCTCTGCTTGGACAGCTGAGGAAACCGTGACTCACTTAAAAAAAATTATACGGACCCATATACATACACATAAACTCTTAAATGCATGACTGTATGTGTTCGTAAAAACTGTTTTTCCCCTTTCTCTTGGTCTTGGCCCGCCCGCCCCCCACCCCGGGCTCTTTCCCTGTCTCCTCCTCCATCACATCGCCTTCCCTGTAATCCCCCAGCAACCTCATCACCCGTGCCCGCATTCCCCCGTATACTTGCATATTCCTACTTGGAATTTGGGGTCATGTATGGATTTGGGAGTCATCGTTCCCTAAAAAGATACATGTTCTTTGCATTTTTTTCTGCAAAACAGTACTCCATGGAAGGTCTAAATTTTGTTTTAAATGTTTATCTTTGAGAGAAACAGAGCGTGAGCATGGGAGGGGCAGAGAGAGAGAGGGAGACACAGAATCTGAAACAGGCTCCAGGCTCTGAGCTGTCAGCAAAGCCCAATGTGGGGCTTGAACTCACGAACTGCGAGGTCAGGACCTGAGCTGAAGTCAGATGCTTAACTGACTGAGCCACCCAGGTGCCCCCTCCATGGAAATTCTAGATCCCTAATGCCATCTGAATTAATGGGGTAGATATATTTTATATACTTACCTGCTCTCTTATGCTTATCAATGGACATTTTAGTTTTTCCCCAAAACTGAGAACTGGAGAGGTTATGTGAGTGGCCCCTATGTGCTGAGGAAACAGTGGAGTCAGGGTTCAAACCCAAGTTCGCCTGGCAGCAGAGCACGCGGCCCTTATTACTGTGCACCGTTGCTCATCCAGACAACCTGGAGAGGGTGAGAGAGCAGGAGTGGGGCCCTTTGGAGAGGGGGAAGCCATTACAGAGTGTTAACAACAGAAGTGAGGATAAAACACTCTCAAATTTGGGAGGATGCTTCAAAGTACTAGAAGTGGTTGAGGGACCTGAAAAGAATGTTCTCTGCAGTCAAAGGCATCTGTCACATCTGATCTATGTACAACCTCTGTCCCACTGATTGGGTAGATTTTGGTGAAACGAGGTAGTGATTTCCTAGGGGATCAGAGTATTGTATTAATAGATTTCAGGTATTTCAATGACAAATCGTGTCATCTTGCTTCTTCTGCATGAATGAAGTGGGCCTTCGGGCCCAGCCGATAGAGAACCAGCTGGGTGTCCTGGGCAGGTGGGCCGTTCCTACGAGCTCTTCAGTCTGGCGGCTTTGCGGTTTCGGGACCTGGCTCACCGTTTGCCCCTTTTCCGTGCCAGGCAAACAGATCCAGGTGTTATCGGGCCACCTGCAGTGGGTTTACTGCTGCTCCGTGTCCCCGGACTGCAGCATGCTGTGCTCGGCAGCCGGAGAGAAGTCGGTGAGTCCCAGACATCGGGTACTGTTCCCTCTGCTGCCTTAGTTCTGCGAGACCTGGAGGTCAGAACAGGCTTCGTGTGCGAGAGGGAAAGTAGGAGCCGCGCCTCAAAATCTGTCTGCAAACCAGCCCCAATAAAAGGCATGCTTGTGGGCGTGACCTCCCCCTGCATGCCTCTCTTTTGATACCCGCTTTAACGTAAGCCAGAAGAGAGGAGAGGTCTGAAGTGGATGGCTTGCTCTCACCACTGCATGGGGGCTGTTTGCCTTCACAAAGTGGCAAAGGTGTGCTTTTTAAATTTCTTTCTCCCCCAAGAGTCTTAAGAATTTAAAAGTTGCAGCCCTTATATGGATCTAATTTCCTTTGAACCACTGAACTTGAGTCTACAGAATTGGGATTTCTATTTCAAGTCAGAATGTACAGTCACTTGTGGAACTTGGTCCTGAAATCCTGCCCATTAGTTCGGAAAGTATTAGAAACCCAAGAACAGTTTGGGAACAGTCTGTTCATTTGAAGTTTAGATCTGCATTGAGCTCTTTGCTAATGGTTAACCAAGTTAAGAGTTCACTACATGGTACAGCCCAGGCGGTTAATCATTTTGGGATTTGGGATGACGTGAAACCAAGTTTTCTTAAAGGGAAGAAAAGAAAATCCCGCTTTTTAATGACTAAAGGTTTAAAGTGATGAACTATGTCAGACGGGCGTGCAGTCACAGGGCAGATTGCCACCGTCCTGTGACCTTGTGGTGTAAAATGGCTTGGCAGGGTGCCATCGCTTTGTTGGGAGCCATGGCCTTCACCTCTGACCCCGATTTCTGGTGTTAAGTGAAAGGACAAGATGAACTGGCGTAGGTCTGCAGCAGGACACACTGTGATCTTGCCCACAGGGCTCAGAAGCAGAACTCAGGAGCCTCTACCGACAGCATTTAGGCTGTAGTCTTCCTGACGTTGCCTGAGTTTGTTCTCCCGTAAGCTCCTTGAACACATGCACTGGTTGGGCGCCTCAAGAATTCAGACCTGTTCCTTTGTTCAAACCTTTCTGGTGTGTTCTGGAAGAGCTGTATAAAAGGGGAGCGGAGAGCTTGGCCTCACCTGGCCGTGGGCCGTGAGCGGGCTTCGCCGTGTCACTCGCTCACCGTTCATGTTCCAGGCAGTTTGTGGCTGCCCCTGACCTGGCACCTGTTCTTTTCCACAGGTCTTTCTCTGGAGCATGCGGTCCTACACGTTAATCCGGAAGCTGGAGGGCCACCAAAGCAGTGTTGTCTCTTGTGACTTCTCACCCGACTCTGCCTTGCTCGTCACGGCTTCTTACGATACCAACGTGATCATGTGGGACCCCTACACGGGCGAGAGGCTGAGGTCACTCCAGTAAGGACGGAATCCCCGCTTATGACTTTCTTGGGGGGCGACCGACGAGAAAGCTGCCTTGGGTCAGGCATGTCCCCCGCAGAGTCCGCGGCATGGGAGGGGACAGTCTGGGTACAAGGCACGGTGCCTTCGGTGCTGCTTCTCAGGCACTGGCTTGCAGGGGCCCCTCATTGTCAGTTAGGTTCTCAAATCAGACCCGAGCGCTTCAGGGCTCCTCGTACAGGAGGCGGCGTGTACTCTGGATTGAGCGTTAATGAAACCTCAGTGTGACTCTTTCTTTCCATTTACTAATAACTGTAGTAGCAGATTCAGAACGGTCTTCTTACCGAACCTGGTATTTCCAAAATGAATCCTCATGTTCTCACAAACTTGGTCTTTTTCTCTTGGCCTCTGTTGTTTTCTGAAGCAAATAATAGGCAGTCCTATAATTATCACGTATCTTAGCCTAAAAAAGACTTTCAGTTTGTACTGTGGCATTAAAGTGAGGGCTGACCTACTTTGCATAAGGAAATTAGCACAGGGAGCGTGAGTAACCCTTCAGCCCCTTCCACAAGACACCTGGACCCTCAGGAAATGCGCTTCTGTCCCCCAGTCTGCTTGTCCCGAGGTTTTCCACAGGGGATACAAGATGGGTCTTGAGCCTTTCTTAGCCACGCCATTTTGGCCGCCTGCCTGGGAAAGAAGATGCAGGGTGGAGAGTGGCCCGTCACTCCAGGACCACCAGCCTGTTCCTTTCTCCTCAGCCACACCCAGCTTGACCCCCCCATGGACGACAGCGATGTCCACATTAGCTCCCTGAGATCTGTGTGCTTCTCGCCCGAAGGCCTGTACCTCGCCACGGTGGCCGATGACAGGTAACGAAGGGGAATCTCTGTGTGTGGCCTCGGAGCAAGTCCCTGCAAGTCCCTGTAGCATCGCCCTCTGGCCTGGCCCCGGGTCTGCTAATGTGCAAACGTGTCTTTTCTCTCTCTCTCTCTCTCTCTCTCTCTCTCTCTCGTCCAGACTCCTCAGGATCTGGGCCCTGGAACTCAAAACTCCCATTGCATTTGCTCCTATGACCAATGGTCTTTGCTGCACATTTTTTCCACATGGTGGAGTTATTGCCACAGGGTACGTATCTGATAGCTGAACAGATGGGCAGCAGTTTCTGCTGAGTGTACTATGCAGCTTTTTAAGGAAAGCAAGCCTCTAGAATTTTCTTGCCTGTGATGAAGCCTTTAAGGAAATCTAAGAGGACACAGAATTCTAATATTCTATGCTGCCAATACAGGTTAGCCTTTACTTTTAATATTTCATCTAAATGGAATTAAAGAGCCGTGATTCATGCCACTTAATGAGCCGGGTCCGCAAGGAAGCAGGAAGTGAGATGATGCAGAATTTATACGGGAAACCGTTTAGGGCAGAGACCACCATACGGGGAACATCCAGAATTCAGAAGGTGGCCCTCTTCCCTGTGGCACGTTTGAACTCACAGTGTGATTCAGAAGGGCTCTGCTCACAGATAGCACTTTGGTATCAGAGGCGTCCTTCGTTCTTAGAGTCGTGTCCGCAGCCTTAGTCATTCGGCATCGCAGCCCTGACGTCGATGCCAGCCATCAGGGTTGCATTTAAGGGTCGCGGTTCACTCTCTGGGTGTCTGCTGCCCGTGCGCCAGAGTGGAAACATGCACACCTGTCACAGCGAAAGCAGGTATATGTAAGGTCGGCCTTACAGCGTCTGTCTCTGTTTTGTTTCAGGACAAGGGATGGCCACGTCCAGTTCTGGACAGCTCCTAGGGTCCTGTCCTCACTGAAGCACTTATGCCGGAAAGCCCTTCGAAGTTTCCTAACCACCTACCAAGTGCTAGCACTGCCGATCCCCAAGAAAATGAAAGAGTTCCTCACTTACAGGACTTTTTAAGTCACGCTCCATAGTCTCATAACTTGTTTTCTTTGTAGCAGGATAAACCTCCGTGGCAGAGGAGGAGCTGGGCCAAAGGGCCCAACATCAGGTCTTGGCTTGGAAGGGAATTTGTCTTCGGGGTGTGAACAGAGTGTAGCAAAACCAGATACCGGTGGACTAGTCACCAGTGTTTTTCTCCATGACACGGGGAGGTCCGTCACAGAGGGGGACTCCAGTTCCGCGACGGCTGAGCCTTCCCTTAAACCCTCAGTCCCCTTACAGACAGCAGCACCCAACACTTTTCAAAGTCATGTTTTTGAGTCAAAGCGCAGTTACTCATGTTGATTCGGTAGGAAGAGTAACCAGGCCTCAGGAGCCTCTCTGTAGGGGTGGGGTTGGGTCCCTCGACTGGCAGGTGTGGCTTCTGCCCCATACTTCTGCGTTGTCATGTTTCACATACAGCGGTGACATTGTCCGAAGTTCTCTCCTGCTGTGTCAGAGTGGCTTTGATGTTGGCAAGCACTGTCCTTCCTCAGGCCCCCCTCTGACCGGCAGGACAAAGTTTCCATGGAGCCGTGTCCCCTGAGGTATTGACTAAATTGCAGGTGACTCAGAGGCCGTGCTCCTGACTGATACACTATACAAGGCGCTCTTTTTTTTTTTTTTATAACCAGTGGTGTGCATGTGCAGGCGATGACAGATGTGTACGTCCGGTTCCACACGGATGTCCCCCTAAACTGCATGACTGTTCAGGTGGCCACCGCGTTGGCAGGTGTTTGCCATTTGTAGCCTATTTATTTGTATTTTCTCAGCAGATGTTAAGGTACAGCTGTGTCTCCCTCCACGGTATCTAAAAACCATAGTTGTTAAGTCCAACGGTTGACGTCTCTTCTTGAGTGTGGGAAGTGGTGTGGTGGCCCCTTGGGCTGGGTCTCACGTACGCGGTCTGCCTTTGCTGCTTCACCTCATCGGACCGATCAGCCGTGTCCCCTCCGCCCCGGCACAGACGTAGCTCCTTGAAAGTACTGTTCTCCTTCAGCGGCGTGTAGTTCTCTGATCAGGACACCTCATCCCAATGAAACCTGCCTTTGGAAAATTTAATATATTGTAAATTATTTTAAAAGAAACACACCACCTTATCCTTTGGCTTTCTTACTAGGTGCTTTGTGGAGGCCAGTGTAATGTTATAAAACTTGTTGCAAAAGTACGAAGTCCCCTCTGCCACCTTTGTTGAAGAAAAACATTTCTTTTCAAGATAAGAGGCTTTCATTGAAGGGAAAGTTAAAAAGCTTTTGGCTCACTGGTTCATTTTTTCCACTAAGAAAAAAATATCACTTCTCAAACCAAGTGAGTACAGCAGGAGAGCGGGGAATGGCTGGGGTGAATTTTTAATTTTGTGGTTATCTTGACATATCACAGTGTAGTCGGAGAGGCTCTGGGTGGCTTCTCCGAGACCCCATTGGCCATTAGCTTCGAACTTCGCTTGGTGTCCTTGGGGAGTGGGTTGAACATGAATGATGGAAATAACCAGCTTCTCCCTTTTGAATAGTATAAGAACCTGACACCTTTAAAAAGAATTGCCTCCAAGGAAAGCTTTTTCTGTGATACCAGAGATGGGGGAGGCTCTTTCACACAGATGCCAGCCGAACGGGTCTGCGTCTTTATAACCGGTGAAGGAAAGAGTCCCTTGCAACACAGCCCGTACACAAGCTGCTTTATTTTTATTGAGAACACTATCAGACGCCGCCTGTTTGCTCTAGAATCAACTGCCACCCTGTGCATTCGGGTCTGAGCTCACCTGCCCTCTTTGCATGAACAAGGGAGCACTAGGGAGCCTGGCCCCCACGGACACAAAGTGACTCCACACTGTCCCCACCGTGGTTAGGAGCCTGCTTTTAGAGGAGAAATAAAGACATTTTTCAAGTAAGAGAACCCGAGGCCAGTAAAAGAGTACAATCGTTTGGGCCAGAGATCAATTAACATTTCTTTTTTTCTTCATTAACACCTTTTTAAAGTCGATACAGAGATGGTGCTACAGATTAGATTTATACACTTGATCTTGGAGATGTTTGGTTTAGCCTGAGTAATAGAAGACACTGGTACCACATGAGATTTGGAAGCCTTTTGTTCTGTACCAAAATGGGGTAGGCCAATTTCCTGTCATCTAAGCAACTGAATGCTAACAGCCTTAAGCCTGAGGAAAAAAAAAAAAAAAAACCTTTTTCTTTTCGCTCTGGTTTTTCCTGTAAAACACCAATGGGCAGAGCAGTCAGAGCTGCGTGTTACAAGTGTCCTATGTATACCTGCTAGACACACACACACACACGCGACTGTTTAAACCTTTGCCCGCCCGTGTCTGGAACAGTTTTCCAAAACTTGGGGTGACCATGGATGCACGCCCCCGGCCCGCACAGCAGTTTATCCCGTGACTGAGCCCCCCGTTCTCTAGTCACTGTGGGGCCCGTGAATGGCGGCGACAGGCCTCAGCATTTAGGTCTCCGTGACGATCAGGTCCCTGGTGACCTGGAAAGCGGCAATGAGGGAACTCAGCTGAATCTTCTCATTGGTGCCAACGGAAAGTCTGTACCTAAAAGACATCAAACACAAGGTAAGAATAGAGACTATCACGGACAGCTACCTTTTGACCAGAGAACAGTAGAGATCAGAGACAGAATGTTTGCTGAAGGAGGAAAGGAGGTACTAAAACTTTATCATGGGCAGTCATCCTGGATGTGTCCCCTAACATTTTCTTCTCTGCCCTGAAGATAGATACTCATTGATAACTCCATCCACACTGGTGGTGAAGAATTAAATGAAAAAAATGTGTTCGTTATCAACAGCAGCGTTCTGAACTTAACTTTGTTCTAGCTGTACAGAATTTACATGGCTGAGGATCACTTCTTCGCTCGCAGAAGGAATCGAGAGAAATTATCACTCAGATTTTCCTTCCTCTTGACTCACTAGGAAGTACGGTTGACTGTGGTTCTGTGCTCTGGTTGGTAAAGCAGGACACTGGCAAGCCCATCTTGCCACCTTCCAGGTGCCCAGCCGGCGAAGGCAAAATCACGGCATTGGCAGCGCGGGGCCGAGAAGGGGCCTATAGTGTGCACGTGGAAAGCCAGTGACGGCAAATGAGAGCCAGCCCCGTGCTGGCGTCTGGTTTGAACCCAATGCTTCTGTCTCCTTAAATGATAGCTGCCGGCTTCACTGGGGCCTAATCACTGTGTTTATGGAGCCGGGCAAAGTGGAAAATTGAGTTTATGTTTACTTTTCCCCCCAATATGCTTTGCTATGCCGAAATGCTTTAATAACAGCTGGATAGCTGCTCGTCCCCCAAGTGACCTCGATGTCGGAACTGAAAGCAGGCCTTCCAAATGACAGCATTTCTGGAACCGGTGTGGGCCAGGCCTCCGAGGCCTAAGGAGAAGCCTTTACCTCAGATATGTAACTGAGCTGGAACTGTCCTGGTGTTTATTTGTATGTTCTTTAGATGAGCAAGTCGTACCCTTCCCCCAGTTTCTTTCCGTGATTCCCACCAAAGGCTAGATTGTGCCATATATGAGTGACGTACACAAGCTCCAACCCCACAGGTAGGGGAAGAAGAACCGCTACAAGGTAATAAAGGGGAAAGAACCAAAATTGGGAAATACTCACTCAATGTCTGCCATTTTGGTCAGTAAATGTACTCGAACTGAAGATGGAAAATCAACTGGGGGAAAAACAAAATAACTGAGTGAGGTCTGCTGCAAAAAAAAAATAAAACGTCACCCACCAATTAGGAATTTAAACATCAGGCGACACTAAACTTGTCTCGAGGCCTCAGATCCACAGGGACCGCACCTCTGAGGAAGTGAACACTGTAGAGGTTTTCAGTTTTTTACCCGTTTTGTGAGCAGGTTCCAAAGTGGTCGCAAGGACACAGGAGAGCAGCAGCACTGCTTTAGCAAGGGGGCAGCTCAACAGCGGGACCGGAAAGCCCTGTTCTCACTTGCTGTCCCCGTGTCACAAACAAACGTAGTCAACTGAATTCTAAACCTCCGCTCATACTCCCTTCCCACAAAGCGCAGGGCAGGGCTTGAGCGGCCCGCATTCCCAGGCAGCCCGGCGAGGCCTGCAGAGGCTGGGAGAATGTTCGCGGACCCGAGGTCTGTCTGCAGCTGGCTGCGGAGGAAGGCGGGGTTTCCCCGAAAAGGCTGTGCAACAGGTCACCTGGAGAGCCTGCAAAAATCCTTCAGCCCAGTGCCCCCCAAAAGGCCCAGGGAACTGGTCTGGGGGGACCCCTACACGCCGCCAAGGAGAACCAGCTCTCCGTACAGAAGGTCAGACCAAGTGTGGGACTTGAGGTGGTTCACTTAAGACTGCTTTGGTTTACACCGGAGGTAGATCTTCCTTCTCTTCTCCTTTTGGGGGGAAACACCCTTCGAAATGTGAATTACAGCGTACTGTTCACCGCTGTAAAATACAAACCCTTGGAGGAAAGAAAGTTGGCTCTCAGGAGTTTCTTTCCCCAGCAGTTTTAGAGGTTAAGAGAATAGTTCTGGAACAAAATTGTAAACAGCAACAAGACAAAACTAAGACGGGGCAGGTTCATACTCCATTCCTGTTTCTTTGCTTCCAAAGTGAAGCTTCCTGTTCCTTCCCGACCACCCATAAGCCCCCTGCACGCCTCCCCCTCCAACCAGCTTCAGCGAGGGAAGAGAGGGAGTTACCTCTGTGCACAAACAAGTGTATCTCTGTCAGGATATCATGTAACGCCAGCCCCTTCAGCGTTTTCAACTCTGTAATATCTAGAGAGGGGTGGTTAAGGCAAAGGGCGCAAGTTCCAGAAGAAACCCGCTGCATGCAATTTTGAATCCAAACTCTGGTGAGTGACTTTGGAAGTAGGGCTTTTCACCCTGACGCAGCTGCTGCTTTCAGTTTGAAGCTGCAGCTGTTGGACTCCAATTCTTATCTTTATTTATTTTATTTTTGGGGGGGGGTAAGGGCAGAGGGAGACGGAGAGAGAATCCCAAACAGGCTACTTGCTCAGCTCAGAGCCTGCACAGGGCTGGATCCCATGACCCTGGCATTGTGACCTGAACTTAAAAATCAAGAATCAGACACTCAACTGACTGAGCCATGTAGGCGCCACTCCCCGCTTCTAAAAAAATCTTTTTATGTTTTTATCTTCAACAAGAGCTGCTTCCTTCTGACTAGTGGAGAACAGAGCCAAATGCATCTCCCAGCAGGCTACCCCTTGCTTTTTTTTTTTTTCCTTAATGTTTTATTTATTTCTGAGAGAGAGAGGGAGACACAGAATCTGAAACAGGCTCCAGGCTCCGAGCTGTCAGCACAGAGCCCGACGCGGGGCTCAAACCCATGAACCATGAGATCATGATCTAAGCCGAGGTCGGACGCTTAGCCGACTGAGCCACCCAGGCGCCCCTACCCCTAGCTTTTAATTTTACTGAAAAATGAGAATAGCAATGGCCACTTGAAAATGATCACATCTGCCACCCCAAAACCTAAATGCTTCTCTCATCCGTGAGGACAGTGGCTTCAAGCCAAGCCCTTCAGAAAGAACTTTAGGGCATTAAAGACAAGGATCCACGCCCCCCAGATACCTCTTGTTCCCACAGAAAGCTGACCAGGTGCACACACAGCCAGCAGTGTTTTGCCAGTACTGGCTGCAGCCTGGGCTCCCGGGCCAAGTTCAGGCCCGAGGTACCTAACGTGCCATCAGTAGGCCGTGAGAAAGGATACTCCTGTAGGCGGTCGTGAAGTCCTGATTCAACATCCAGTCCAGAATGTTGGCGATGTCTGACTTGAGCGGGTGCCCAGTGCAGGTGTAGACGGTCTCCTCTGTCACCTTCCCAAAGGCCATATTGGTGCTCTGTGCAGAGAGGGAGAATCACAGTGGCCGTCCCCGTGGCCACCACACTGTAGGTGGGTCAGGAGGAAAACGCGGAGGCAGCGATAGAAGTGGGCAGTAATGTCGTGTGGGTGCGGGACAGCCCGAGCCCGGGCCCGCGCGGTGCGCCCTGGAAAGGCCTCCCAAGGGGATGGCCGCTGCGGTGTCCCAGCTGCAGAGCCCTCCCTAGCCTTCCCCGGACTCCGGCACAGAACACACAGGCCGCGGGAGACCTTTGGTTCGTTGTGAGACAGAGATCTTTCCAGTTCTGGGTTTCTGAACTTCTAGGCTGGCTGTGCCACTGCCTGTCTTGACAAACTATTCCAAAGCAGTGCCTCGAGAATTGCCAGGAGGGAGGGTGGTACCTGCAGGATGTTCAGAGCCCTTCGCATGTCTCCGCTGGAAAGCGTCACAACGGCTTTCAGCCCGTCCTCGCTTAGGTCCACCCTGAAAGGGGAGAGGGAGGGGGACCTCAGAGGCCCGGAGAGCGCGGGCACTCGCCCAGGGAACGAGATGGCCTGGAATGACTGAGGCTTTGAAGGGACGAAAGCAAGGGGAGGACGGAGTGAGTAGAACTCTCCTGATCTACAGGATCCAGAAGTCACTCTGCTTTTAAGGGATGTGGCTTCGCAGCAGCAGTCACGGCCCACTCGAGAGAGGCCCGAGGACCAGGCCTGGCCGTGTTGAGCGATGGGCTTTGGGTTCTGTTCTCTGAAAAGAGAGGGCACCGGGGGAGGCCTGAGAGCGCAGAGCCAGGGCGCCCCCTTTCAACAGGCAGCAGCTTGGGGTGGCTCCTTGCTCGGCAAGTGACACGGAAGACGGAGTCTTAGTACCTTCCCTTCCGGTCAGAAAAGGCCGGGGCATCTTAGCAGAAGGGACTGGGCAGCACGCAGTCCCCGGTGACAAAAGGAGAGAAGGAGGGAATGGGGACAGCTGCCAGCGGGGGCAGGAGGGGAGCGGGAGAAGAACGAGCGCCTTTTACCAGGAATGTCCCGGAGACGCCAGAGGAGATGGGGGCAGCCGGCAGACCCCGGTGCTCCCTCTGCGCCAGGCACCCCGCTTCGTCGACGACACGCATTATCACCTGTAAATGTCAACCCGCCGGCCACCCCGGAACCCGGCCGACGCTGCTCGGTCCCTGACCGCTTCCCGATGTACTTACTTCTCTTCTTGTGCGACGTGTTCCAGGTGGGGGACCATGAGTTCTGGGGTCAGGGGACCGAATCGGAACCTGGTGCAGCGGGACTGCAAGGCGGGGATGATCTTCGACAGATAGTTACAGATGAGGCAGAACCTGGTATTTTCTGTAAATTTCTCAATCACTGGCAAGGGAAAAGAAAACCGTCTCGCGTCTGTTCGGATTCTTCAAAAGACCTGGAAACCCTGAACTCTTCCGTGGTCACGTGAAGGGTACGGGACACAGGAGGTGAAGACCGTGAGCAGGAGGGGACGCTGCTGTGACGAGAGGCAGTGGCTGCGGTGGTCAGGCCTGGGAGCCCGGCCACTCTCTTCCCCAAAGCTGATGAACACGTCATCGCGACAGGATTCTAGAAAATGCTTCCTTTTTTGATGGCTTGCCATGATTTGGCGCTCTTGCCATCCCATTCCAGTAGCTATGAGATCTAGTACGCCTGTCATCTCGCATAAGATTCTATGGCGGGGTGGTGATGACCTGACAGAGGCGGACAGGGTCCCTCTGTGTGGACTGCCCAGTGCACCTTGTCTCGAAGCCTCAGAGCACTCAAGAGAGCGATAGCTCAAATTCAGAGAGGCTTATGAAACACCAGTCTCGCTCTGTAGTTTCCCAGTGTTCTCCCCCGGGGACCTGCCCACACTGACAGTCACTCTGCAAAGCAGAGGCTGAAGCAGGGCTGCCAAAGCTTTTACGATCAGAAGATAACTCCGACCGTCTCCTCCTCGTCTCACACATGGGCCGCAGTCCACCCCTTCTGCCCCAGAACTCCGAAAGAGCGTTCTTTTCTCCTAGTCGGTCACCTCGGAATCTTAATGTCGGAGGTCACCAACGTCCCTTCAGAGAAGTTAACTGTACCAGGCCCCTTGAGACAGACAGCTCGCGCGATACTCCCCTCCCCGCCAAGTCATTCCCTTGGCAAACAGAGACGTCACATCAGCTTTCTGGGTGCGACGGCATTTCCAGTACTATTTTCTGGGCCACTGTGTATCTTAGGGTACCGAGAGCAGAAAGGTCTACCCAGCAATTTAGGAATAAGAGACTTTCCATGTCCGCCCCCTCCCCCCCACCCTGCCTCCATCTAAGAATACAAATTCCCAAGCCCAAAATGAACCCAGTGGAAAAGGAGAATGAAACAGCTGTGTCTGGTCAGACTTAAAAGTCCCGACAGGGCTTCTACCTTTAAGCTGCTGCAAGGGGACACCCCCAGTGCAGGGAGATTTTGTCTAGACCATCAGGTGGGATATAGGACAGAAAGGTAAACAGATTGCTCTGGGCCAGAAGATGAACAAACATTGTCAACGAACTGCGTCATTAGCTCATGTCCAAAGTTCCTTATTCTTCTAATGCACTCATGGGCCAGCACGCTGTACCTGACCGCCCTTACCTCTCCTCAAGGCGTTCTGGGCATCTTGGGTCATGGCATCAGCTTCATCCAAGATCACTAGTTTGAAGCCTTTCCTAGGAAAACAAACGGTGCCATCTGAAGATTTCTTTATTATTATTTTATTTTAGAGAGAGACTGTGTGTGTACGCGCGACTGGGGGAGGGGGCAGAGGGAGGGAGAGAGAATCCCAAGCAGGCTCCACACTCAGCACAGAGCCTGACTTGGGGCTCGAGCCCACGACCCTGGGATCATGACCTGAGCAGAAATCAAGAATTGGACACTCAACCGACAGGGCCACCCAGGCGCCTCTGAAGATTTCTTTAATCTCCCTTCTACCTCCAGGCTCAAACCTACATGTTCACATCTGTGCCATCAGGCTGGGCCTCGGAAAGTCCATTTCTCCTTGACCTCTGAGCGAAGCAAACAAGTGTGCTCCCACAGAGGACATGCCCATCCCTCTTCCAGCTCTTAAAGGGAACGGAGGTCTGACTTCCGTATTTCTGTTATGCTCTTGCCTCTGGCACCCTGTTGCTTTTTCCCACCACCTCCACTCCTGCCTTCATCTTTTCCTTTTTATCCATCCTCATCTCAATTCATTTTTGTTTAAATTCAAACTAGCTCAGGGGCGCCTGGATGGCTCAGACGGTTAAGCATCCGACTTTGGCTCAGGTCATGATCTCATGGTTTCTGAGTTCGAGCCCCGCACTAGGCTCTGGGTTGACAGCCCAGAGCCTGGAGCCTGCTTTGGATTCTCTGTATCCTTCTCTCTCTGACCCTCCCCTGCTTGTCCTCTCTCTCTCAAAAATAAATAAATAAAAATTAATTACTAAAATGAAGTTAGGCTTCCCCAAGGAACTTGCTAATATAGCAAGTTCTGAGATATTTTATTTTTTCCATTTAAAAAAAAGATATATATATATATTTTTAATGTGTTCTATTTTATTTTGAGAGACAGAGCGAGTGGGGGAGGGGCAGAGAGAGGGAGACACAGAATCTGAAGCAGGCTCCCGGCTCTGAGCTGTCAGCACAGAGCTTGATGCGGAGCTCGAACCCACAGACTGTGAGATCGTGACCTGAGCCAAAGTCGGACGCTCAACCGAGAGAGCCACCCAGGCACCCCCATATTTTATTTTCATATTTGCATTCTATCTTACCACCATACTTTATCTCTTTTTCATGGCTACTTATGACAAAGTCATTGTTTACCTTTACAGACTGGCAAAGGAGAGGATTTAAAAAATTAAGCTCTGTCATCTCACTGACCAAAACCTCTAGAGAGAGGAATTATACAAATAATTCTTACTTAAATATTGTCCTTGTGCTAGCGAAGCTCAGGATTGGTCCCCGAACGATGTCTATTCCTCGGTCGTCGGAAGCATTCAGCTGAATGTGGAAGGGAGAAGCCAGAATAAATCAGACACATGTTGGTGTGCCATCTGTGAATTAATGTATCTTTTCTTCAATCCATCGCGGTAAGCTAGGTCTCTAGATCTAACAGCTAAAAAGCCAAGATCACAATTGTATTTAAAACTCACAACTCACTAGATCAGCACGTTACATTCTGAAAGGCCAACAACTTGTGTTTCCTCCCCCTTTCCAGCACAATCACTGACATACTCTGGAGGAATAACTAACTGGCCCGGCCACAGTGAGCAGCATCTCTGGCGTGAGCAGAATCCTGCTCAATTTTAGCTGCCGCAGCCCAGAGCAACTCAGAAGTTATTAAGTCTTGAATCCACAGAACTAAGAGCACTGGCGGCAGCCAGCTTCTAAGATCTCCAACAACAACAAAAAAAATTAAACATTTTGTTTTGCAATAGACAATATTTAGAATTCTGTGATCTAAGTCTATCAGTCAAATCTCAGCAGCAAACAGATGGCGGACTCAAAACTCAGTGATCTGAAGACCAGTCCGTGAAGAGAGATTTTAAAGGGTGTCGGTGGGGTGTGGGGAAACCACAAGGGCTATGCAATCCCTCTGGGGCTACCGGGCCCCTGACCAGCCCTCAGAGGTGAGGGGGGCAGTGGTCCTGCGGGTGGGGTGCTGTCAGCCTGTGGTGGCCCCCAGGGCAGAAGCAGGCCCCGTTCAGCTTCCTCCAACTCCAGCCAGGGCCCCTACGGGCCAAACCTACCCAGGAGCCCAAGGACCGCGCAGCCTGCAGTCAACACAGCTTGGCCTTCTGGGGCAAGAACAGGGTGGACCAACGTGAAGAAGGAACCTGGACAGCAAGCTACTGAGCCACCAGTCCCTGAGTGCCCACTGAGCGTTTGAGTAGAAGTTGGTAACAGCAGAGAAAAATATCTAGCCCTACAACTGCCCCCTAGCTCATGCCAATCCAGACCGAAACATCAATTCCAGGAAAAAGTGACTCGAAATATTTTATGTCCAGCAAAGCAACTTACTTGTAAAGCAAAACAAATCTAAGAGAACTAAAAGTAAGAGACTCAAGTCCTTTCTAGAGTAAGAATAATCCTATTTACCTCCAAGACCATGGAGCCAAATTCCTTATCTTTGTATAGCTGTTTAGCACAGGCTAGGATGGTGGAGGTCTTTCCCGTCCCTGGAGGCCCATAGAGAAGCAGGTGCGGCAGTCGGTCTTCGCTAATAAATTTCTGAACTGAGGATCGGGAGGAAAGAGAGACCCCCATCAGTTCCCAGGAGTTGCCTCATTTGCTGTGGGCCCTTGAGTTGGGCTGAACGCACTTCAACTCTACGTTCTACTCAGAGGCAGATGCAGGAATGAAAAATCTGAAGGACTCAGCTTTTACAGCAACATTCCATAAAGCTCAATCAGATCCTTCGAGGTTATTGCTCAGCAGAGACAATACCAAGAAATTTATATAGGTCCTGCAACCAGACTAACAGCAAATGACACAAGGGTGCTTACTGGTGCTCAAAATGTCCTGATGAGAAATCAGATCATTCAGCGTCTGTGGCCGGTATTTTTCAACCCTGAAATACAATTTAGCCTGGATTAGAACATATACAAACGCGGGGCGTCTGGGTGGCTCAGTCGGTTAAGTGTCCAGCTTCGGCTCAGGTCATGATCTCGCGGCTCGTGGGTTCGAGCCCCGCGTCGGGCTCTGTGCTGACAGTCAGCTCAGAGCCTGGAGCCTGTTTCGGATTCTGCGTCTCCCTCTCTCTCTGACCCTCCTCTGCTCACGCTTTCTCTCTCTCTCTCTCTCTCTTTCTCTCTCTCTCAGAAATAAATAAAACATTTAAAAATTTTTTTAAAAAAAGAACATATACAAATGCAAGGATGTGCTATTACATGCAAAAGAATCTTTTTGTATCCTAACAAAAAGACGAAGAGAAGCAAAATCCTTTATGTTTGAATACAGACCACTGGTTCTCAACCAGGGACAGTACTGTCCTCCAGGAAACATTCGGTGATGTCTGGAGACATTTTTAATGGTCACAACTGGGTGGAGGGTGCTATAGGCTTCCGGCAGACAGACCCCAGGGATGTCACTAAACATTCTACGATGCACAGGATAGTCACCATGCCCGCACCCACCAAGTATATATCTCCAAAGGCCAGTAGTGCTGAGGCTGATAAACCCTGCTCTACCTTCATGTCTCCAGCTGTCTGCTTATAGATAATCTCAACCTGGATGGGCACCTATTATTTCAAAGTAAATTAAAAACTGAATTCGTGCCCAAATACACATGAAAAGATGAATGGTGGTCTATCTGTACAAGGGAATACTGTTCAGCCATAAAAACGACTGACGCACTGACACTTGCGACACGGATGGACCCTGAAAACATGATGCTGAGTGAAAGCAGCCAGTCACAAAAGGCCACGTACTGATTCTATTTATATGAATGTCCACAATAAGCAAATTCAGGGAGAGAAAGCAGATCAGTGGTGGCCAGGGGGGCGAGGGGAGGGGGTAGTAATGGGGAGTCACTGCCAAAGGGTATGGAGTTTCCATTTGGGGTGATGAGAAGTTTTGGAACTTGACAGTGATAGATGGGAGCATGACATTCTCAATGTACTTAATGTCACTGAATTACGCACTTTAAAATGTTTACAATCGTAAACTGTTTTTTCCACAACAGAAACAAATTGAACTTATTAGACAGGACCCACTTGGAGCTTTCTGAAATCAAGCCAGATCCTATCAGTTTCTAAACCATCATTCACAGATGCAGCTGTGGAAGTAAGGTTTGGAGTGCAAGCTCTGAACTCACCTGGGTTCAAATCCAAACCAATTTTCAAGCTCCGGACCTTAGGTAAGTCATTTAACCGTTTGGTACTACAACCCGAGTAATAACAGCACCTACCTCCTAGCGTCCTTGTCTTTATCAAACATCTAACGGGGTCCCTGGTGATCTAAACAGAAGACTTTCCAATACCACTTAACTAGGGAGCTTTATTGTTATCATTACTATTTCAGTTTAGAATGTGAGCAATATCGGCATTGAAGATTCCGCAAGAATAGAGGGCACTGTGGCACGGAGGCCGATGCAAAGTCAGAAGGGACTGAACCCCTGTGCTGACATCCGGGTCGTAAAAGGGTTGGGGGCCGTGGGATCAGGGCCGCGGGAAGACAGGACAAAGTGCTCAAATAACGGAAGGGGCTGGGGAGTTGCGGATGCCAAAGAGAACTTCTGGGGCTCCGTCTGGCTGCAGGTCGGGGGCGGTGGGGCGAAGTCGGGCTGCGGCCGCGCCACTTGCCCACCCCGGCCACCGACCCCCTTCCCCGCGGCGGCCGGGCCTCCTCCTACCAGGGCAGGTTTCTGATCTTGGCCGCCGCGGGCTGCTGCTGCTCCTGCCTCGCTGAGGTCTCCATGGCGGGGTGAAGAAGATGTCCGTGTCCGCTGGCGTCGTCGCGTCCCCCGGGGGTCTGCACAGCCACCAGCCACAAGCGGACCCCAGGATCCCGGGGTCCGGCACTTAGAGTTCGCGCGCAAAGGCAACTCTCGCGAGATTTGGCCGCCAGCTTCCGACTTCCTCTTTGGGTCTCGCCCCCTCTTCGTTGCCAAGGCGCCGGTTACCTGGTTACCGGGAGGCGCCCGCTGGCAGCCTCCCTCCGGGTCCGCCCTTTTAGCCCCGCGCTGCCCGCTTGCCAATGCGGCTGGGCTTCTTGAGCCCGGGGACCTGGGGGAGCAGGAGGGGCAAGGCCACCCCCTACAGCCTCCAGTCATCGTTACAAACTGAAGTCTCACGGTCAATGCCAATTCCAGCCACCACCAGAGTTCAAACACTTACCGTTCAAAGGAACAGAGAAAGCCGCCGGTGCTAAAAAAAAAAAAAAAATCTAGAGGAAAAAACAACCCCACACGATGGGGCAGTTCTTGAATATAGACGCCCTGGGAAAAAAGGCTCGAAACACCTTTTGGCCCCAAAGCTGGGAGGTAAGCACTTCGAATTGATAAAGGACTCCAAAACACATACAACTCCAATCTACCGCCCAAACCCATGCCCCTCACCCAACAGAATCTAGAGAACCAAGCTCCAGAACAACCCCAGAGTAAAAACAAAAAAACAAACTTCCAGTTAGGTTAATACGTTTAACTGGAAAGGGCTAGTTACTCAGCACAGAGGGCAGGGTCCCTGATTTGAAGATCGGAGAATTAGTATTAAAATTTTAGTGTTTGGTGGTTGTTGTTATTGTTGTTGTTTTCTGAGATGAAGTGATTATGGACCACTTTTATTTTCTTTTATCTTGCTATTTCCCAGCAATGAATGTTATCCATAATAACGTGGGGGTTTGGGGGAGGTTTGTTTTGTTTTGTTTTGGGTTTTTTGTTTGTTTTGTTTTGCTTTGGTTTTTTGTTGTGTGTGTGGGGTTTTTTTTTGTTTTTTTGTTTTTTGTTTTTTGTTTTGTTTTTTTTTTTAACGTTTGAGAAAGACAGTATGGAGACAAGGTGAGGCTGGCCTGGGGTCAGAAGCGTTCTGATTCATAAATAGCCGCTCCTTGCACCTTATCACATCACCGGCACCTGCTCTGGGAACACGGTAGAGAGACACTGGGGCAAATACATGATGGCAGTTATCCTTGACCCTCGCGCCTGCCTGGGGATTCATCTGAATCTGGTCGGATGTGGCTTATGCTAGGACACTGCCCATACTCCCTGCTTCCTCCCCAGCCAACTCTAACTTTGTTCAGTTCCTTCGTGTTCTGCTTCGCCACTGAGCTCTGGCCATCTCGCCTCTTCTTGTCCAATAATCTCTACTCCAAAGGTGTCTGTGAGGACTCAGGAACACACGTAAAGCATTCCGTACATTGCCTCCTTACTCTCTCCTTCACTTCTAGCACACTCTCCACCCACCCTGTTCTTGTTTCAAATGCTTCTTCTCAAGCCAAACCGACTCAAGAATTGGCTGCTATGACTGTGCCCATGGGGGTGCCTTTTATGGGTTACGTGACTAGACTCTGGACGCCCAGAGAGCTGGTAAAATATTATTTTGGGGGTGTCTCTGAGGGCATCTCTGAAAGACATCGGCATTTGACTGGGTGGACTGAGTAAAGATCACCTCATCCGTGCGGGTGGGGATCCTGCAATCCACTGGGGCCCTGAATGGAACAAAAAGAGGAAGGGTGACTCTTTTTGAGCTGGGACATCTATTTTCTCTTGCCCTCAGACATCAGTGCTCTTGATTCTCAGGCCTTTGAATTCAGACTGAATTATACCACCAGTTCTCCTGGGTTTTCAGATGGAAGATACCAGATTGTGGGACTTCTTGGCCTCCATAATCATGTAAGTCTATCCCTATGATATATAAAATATAAATGTGAATATTAAAACATGAAACATATTAAAATACAAAATATCTAATATGGACTATACATAAATATGTTACTGATGTAATATATAATATATAAGTAATACATATCATGTAATATATATGTTTTTAAATCTACGTGAATATAAATATAAATTACATAAATGTAGCCATTCTGCTAAAGGGCCTTTGCGTTAGAAACATGCTGCTACCATCTCCTTGAGCTGGAAGACATGAACGAGACTGGACTACGTTCTCATAAAACTCTGTGTGCACCTGCTGCTCCATTTTCTTGGAGTGCAGAATTCTTCTGAGTGATATTATATATTTATGAGGTCACGTACTGTGTGCCTTCCCGGTGGATTGTAAGCTCACTGGGAGGCAAGGCTTTGATTTATTCACCGCTGTATTCCTGGTGCCTGGAATTGTGCATGGCTCAAAGGAAGCATTCAATTAATCACTTCCATGAATGAATGAATGAATGAATGCTAATGCCTGCTATTCATTAGACAGCTACTATGGGCCACACAGTGTTCTAAGTGCTTCACATTTGTTATACCCACTTAGTTGCTGTGATAAACCAAAGCAACTATCCTTGGCCCCATTTCATAGATGTGTTAAGTCACTTGCCCGAAAGTTTAGCAATATATGGGGCACAACCAGATCTTACCAGGACGGTGTGATTCTATAGCCCACATTCTTAGAGGCTAAGCTAGTGTGGTTCCTGGCCCTGCAGCAGCATCCCCTGGGAACTTGTTAGAAATGTTAACCCTTCTTCTCCCCACCCAAATCCACTGACTGTGCAACTCTGGGGGTGGGCCCGGCCATCTGTGTTGTAACGCGCCCTCCAGGGAACTCTGACTGCACTCAAGTTTGAGAACCACTGCCCTACCTTCTACTGCCTCTCAGTCCCCCAGTATCTGATCACTTCACTTTGTAAGAAAGAGAATGCTACTCGCATACACTGGAAGAACAAAGGTGTCCATTTAATGGGGTGTGTGTGTGTGTGTGTGTAGTTTTGTTTGCTTTTGTTTTTGTTATTAGTTGAAGGTATAGTCCTTTGGGCAAGTTACTTAATGCGTTTGGACCTCAGTCGTGGCATTTGTAAAATGGGCAGAGGTAGGGGGCTGGACTAGAGACAGGGATGGCATTAAAAGCATCTGAGGGTTTTACAATTCCAATACCTGAAGTCCAGCCAGACCGATTAAATTTGGCCTCGGTGTGGGGTGGGACCAGGGACTGGCATTTTTAAAAGCTTCCCAGGTGATTCTAACAGCCAAAGTTGAACTAGGGCCTCTCCTAAGCCAATCACGGCAATCTTAGTCCCCTGATTGGCTTAAAGGTGAGCATGTTACCCAGTTCTGCCCAATGAGATGTAAGGGAAAATGGCAGAGGGGGCGGGGATGGGAAGAGGTCCCCCTGGGAAACTTTTCCCAGTTTGAACTCTGTGGATCCTTGCACTGGGTGATCTTTAGCTTTAAGGCGAAAGACAGAAAGACCAAAATTACAAACTCACATGTCTCTAAGCAGCCTGGAAGTGAATACAGAAAGCAAGAGGAAACTGCCCTCCCTCTAGGACGGCAGAGTTTGTAGATGAAAGATTTCAGCAGGAAAGGACTGTAGTGAAGAAGTACTGGATGGCTTGGCCAATGGGACAAAGACGGGCCACGGAACCGAAACCACGGTCAAAGGTAGGCCACAGAACCAAGCCAGTAAGGAAAGCGCAGCTACTGGTGACCTTCGGAACTGGTCTCAAGTTCCGCTGCCCCTAGACACTGGATGTCGCTTTCACCAATTCTGTTGTCAGGAAGAATTCACCAGTTCTCTCCTGCACTGGATGCTAAGTAAAACTAGCGCCCCATTAAAAGCCTGGGGAGACGTGCGTCATTGTCCATGGTATGTAGCTTCAATGTTGGGAAATGACGTCCGCCTCCCACCAAGACTTGTGAACTGAGGACATCCTTGAATATAGGGGAGGGGTTCAGATACCGGTGGCCAAAGGAGCACAAATGTCCACTCTGCCAGTATTCAGCCATGAGGGACAGCCCCCAAATGTTGCCAGCGCTTCTGATACTTTAAGGGAAATCAGAAATTTAGATGTTTATGTGAAATTACTGTAAACATTGGCAACTAATTAAAAAAAAAAACATCTGCTGGTCAAGCAAAAATGTTGGGTTACTTTGTGACGTTTTATTTCTTGTGGACAGATGATCAGGCAAAAGATGCAGCCACTCCTTCTTACACCACGCTAGATTGTAGACCTTCTGGGAGGATTAAGAGTCAGCCAAACTGCTATCTCTCTGTGAATTGTGACATTGATGAGCATGGGCACAAACTTTTCTTAGGTAGGGGGCACCGGAGTGGCTCAGTTGGTTGGGTGTCTGATTTCAGCTTAGGTCATGATCTTGAGGTTTTTGAGTTCAGGCCCCTGGTAGGGCTCTGTGCTGACAGCTCAGAGCCTGGAACCTGCTTTGGATTCTGTGTGTGTGTCTCTCTCTGCCCCTTCCCTGCCTGTGCTCTCTCTTTCTCTCTCTCAAATAAATAAACATTAAAAAAATAAAAAACATGGGGTGCCTGGGTGGCTCAGTCCATTGGGCATCCAGTTTCAGCTCAGGTCATGATCTCACAGTTCGTGGTTTCGAGCCCCGCGTCGGGCTTTGTGCTGACAGCTCAGAGCCTGGAGCCTGCTTCGGATTCTGTGTCTCCCTCTCTCTCTGCCCCTCCCCCACTCGCTCTCTGTCTCTGTCTCTCAAAATAAAAAAAATAGGCATAAAAAAATTTTTTAATACAAATAATAAAAAACAAACAACAAAATGCCCCTTTTCTTATATAATCACAACCAGATTTGGGAGTGCTTTATAAAGACCAGGCCTTACAAATGAAAGAATCAGAACTTACAAACAGAATTACCAACGAAAGGCATTTGCTCTTAAAATTGAATTAGGGAAAGGGAGACCTGGATTTTATTACTCTCAGCTTTGGAACAAACTTGGCTTTGGACACAGCACTTACTGCCTTAGTTTATTTTTAAGATTTGTTCTTATGAGAGAATGGGATGCGAGGCTATCTTTGGAAGATGCTGGCAGAAGAAAATCAAACTGGGTCTTTCTCCTGAACATGTTTATACTGGTGAAATCGTGTTTAAATGAAGAGAAAGGACTTGAAGGAGGGAAAAATCTCCATGGGCAATTTGAAGTGTGTGTGTAGAGGAAGGGCCATCTTCCCTGGTGACCATGGCAAAGTCATTGACTGATAAGGGATGTAAATCCTCAGATCTTTGGGAACACTTGTTCCTTTCAATGAGTTTCTCTTGTCAGAAGCCCCCAAAAGTCCCACATCAGGGTTTAGGAAAATCCACTCATTGTCCGCTAACGTGTGTTAATTGAGTAACTAAGGAATGGTTATTTATTGATTCCTTAATCTGATTCTCTTTGAGATCGAAAGGGTGATTCATATGAATTTGCTCCATAAGCTCAAAAAATTTCATGTTTCTGAATTCTTCTAAAGTAAATATAACATGGCTCCCGTTCCTCCACTGTTTCTTCCTCAAGTCAAAGGAGTTTGGAAATGCATTCGGTTGGAGTCATGAGTTGGGTTCCTTCCCTTCCCTAGGGTCATTCGAGAAGCCTAAGAGGTTATGGGCAAAGAGGCCAGAAAATTTGAGGAAGGGCTTTCTAGTGTTTAGTTTTTTTCTGTAGTCTATCAAATAGTTGCTCTTTGCAACAAAACAAAGTTTGAGGTTTAGACTTCCCTGTGCCCCTCCTTTGAAATTCTTCCCCCTTCTCCTCCTCACCTGCTACTAACTCAAAGCGAGGTCCCCAAACCAATAGTAACAACACTCCTTGGGAGTTTGTTGGAAATGCAGGGTCTCTGGGTCCACTCCAGACCTTCTGAATCAGAATTGCATTTTAACCAGGTCTCCAAGCAGCTGGTGTGCAGCTTTCCGCTGAGAAGCCCCAGATACCACAGAATGCATCTCTCTCCCCGCCACTGTGCTCCTCACTGCCTTCGGCAGCTCTAGTGTGGAATTCTCTAGGGAGTTGGGCCTCTGCTCTCTCAAGTAACACTCCTGCCTCCTCGCATTTTGATAATTCAACTCCCAGTCCCAAAGTTCCTAGGCATTCAAGCTCCCCTGAGCCACAGAAGGCCAAAACCTATCTCCCCAGGACCCTGAGGCTTAACTGCGTGGGGAAAAGAAAAAAATAAAACCAAAATCCCCTAGTCTTTTGTGATGAGTCTACAGCAGAAAGTTCAGTCCAGTTGATGACTCCATCACATTATTTTGTCACACTAATAACAGGCCCTCCAGGCTGGTGAAATTTTTAAAATATTTCTTCTTTTGGAGTCTTTCCTGATTCTCTCAAGTTTGAGACCGGCGTAATGGCCCTGGGCTAGAATCTCTCGGGTCATCATGATTGAAAAAAAGGGAATAGATGTTAATAAGGAGGGGATGGAAGTGGAGTTACATCTGCTCTGCTTGGTGCTGGTCTGCCCATGGACCATGCTGCCTTTGGGTCTATGAGATGGGAACGCAGAGGCGAAACGCAGTTGGTGCGTACCTGTCGTACAATGTCTGCAAACCAAAGGGACTGTTTATCTCCCCTCTCTCGTCATAGCAGGGACCCCAGGGAATGTAAGGATGTGAGAAAGAGACCTTAATATTGGCAAAAGACTGTAGATTCAATTCGAGGACGAATAGTAATAAGAAAATGCAAATTACTATCATTATTTATGTTGCATGGCAGAGTTACACAACACTTTATTATACAGTAGATGCTACACAAAGAACTGCTATTTATAGCCATTTTGTCCTGTTCCTCCAGTCCCCCTAAACTCACTCTTTCAAAGCATTTGGCCCAAGTTCAATGGCAATGTGATAAGAAAAATACATTTATTTCAATTAAATGCAATGCTGAAAAATCAAACAAGAGAGTAGTACTGAAAATTGAAGAGCCAACATTTCCCAAGCCAACGTGGAAGACAATTTTTAAACCTGAAGATATTTTAAGTGTTTCAAAGATATAGGTGGTCAAAATATATTTTAAAAATTCTTTCAACTTAAGAGAAAGTGTATGTTTTTTTTTTTTTTTTAAAGGGAGGCACCTTAGAATTTAATCTTGTTCCAAACTAAAAATACTTGGTAGATGTGCAGGAAATTAAAATATCTGGCATGTTCATTAATATGAAGATTGGACAATCGTGTCTTGAAAAAGTGTTAAAACTTAAAGGCCATTTAAAAGTACAGATTTTTAAAAAAATTTAAGGGGGGGCACCTCGGTTAAGCGTCCAACTTCAGCTTAGGTCACGATCTCATGGTTCATGGGTTAAAGCCCTGCATCAGCTCAGAGCCTGGAGTCTGCCTCAGATTCTGTGTCTCGCTCTCTCTCGGCCCCTCCCCCGCTCATGCTCTGTTTCTCTCTGTCTCAATAATAAATAAGCATAAAAAATTTAAAAAAAAATTAGGGAAAGCAAATTTCTATCTTAAAGGGGTATCTAATTAAAGTTTCATGAATCTCATGGGAGTAAATGATTTTGTGCCCTCTGCTTTAATTTTGTTCTTAAATTCAAAGGATATTGGACAAAAACAACATACTCAATATGTCATATTTTGGCAAATGTCAACCAGAACTGGCTTGTTAAACATGGGCTATCTTCAGCTTGTGCCAATTAATTAATTTAAAATGTTTTCTTAATGCTAAATTCAAATAAGTTCTTGGTTTTGATACAATGTCTAATGTTCTTCTGTTTCTCAGGTGATTTGAAATTATAATTGAGAATAAATTTTGCAAAATTAACACATAAAAGGGCGTCACTGGAAATGTTTTCCATTGCATAATTCCAAATGCCATGGAAATGGTTGGCGTATTTGGATAGTCATGGAACTTAATTCCATACGTACATATTTCAAAATTATCCATCTGCTTAACACCAGGAAGGGTTTCAATGGTAAGATCTTGGTGTACCCTATTGTGGAGAACTTGGTGTGATAAAATTTGCAAAATCAAAATCGTGTTATTTCTTTAAAAAACAATTAGTGGGATTAGAAAGTTGGTCCAAGCCTGCAATATGGTGTTATGAGAACAAAAAAAATAAGATTGTGTATTCATGTCTCCCTGTACTCCTGTGTGACCACCAGGGAGAAGGTGTACACAGAGGTTATGAACTAAAGGTAACCCCACAGATCCTGAGGACTAAGGGACTTTAGTTTAAGCTTTACTGTTAACCAAACGAGATCATTGTAAGCACTGAAAAATTAAAAAATTAAAAAATACATGCCCTAAGTATATTTATATTGGGAAAATACCTTGACTTCATTAGTCTAGGTACTATAAGCTATTCTAGTACTAATATTGAGCTATAGTTAATACACTTCTCCTTTGATTTGTAGCAACCGTGGCCGTGATCGTACCGTGGTTAGTACTCTGCGTTGTGATTTGTAGCAACCGTATAAACAGGATGGGTGCCAATTATTTATAAATACATAAACAAAGTGACAATGGTAGATTGTCGGCAAAGATGGTGGCTGGCCATTCCTCCCATCTCTATGCGGGCAGGAAGCTCCCCCCTCTCAAGAGATGGAGTCTATTTCCTCACTCCTCGAGAGCTGGCCTTTGACTTGCTTTGACCACGAGAACATGGCGGCGATGCTATCCCAGAACTTCTAAGTGGAAGCCTGGAAGTTTAGCTAGAGGGAATACCATCTGCTGTGTTAGGATGTCCAGGGATTCCTGCTGGAGAGGGAAGCCAAGCGGAGGGGACTCCAGGAACTCACCTGACAACCAGAAGGCCCCAGCGACATGAGGGAGTCCAGTCAGCACCCCAGGAAAAGAGGCCCAGCTGTCCTATGCAGTCCTCAGTTGTCCAAGCCATTCCGGCTGAAGCACCAGCCCCGTGAGAGAGGCCATCACGGTCCTCCAGCCCCTCATGAACCCACCCCAGCTAACACCACATGGAACACAGAAGAACTGTCCCTCTGCACCCTGCCTAGTTCTTGACCCACAGACTCATGAGCAAATAAAATGATTGTTATTTTAAGCCGCCACATTTAGGTGTGGTTGGCCTGTTATGTCCCAGTGGATAACCTCCCAGTGACAACTTGCTAAATCCTTAAAATTGGGATTTACCAAATCTTGAAACATTTCAGAGGCCAAAAGGAAAAGATGAGTAGAATATCCATTAACCAAAGCTGTCATAACTAAGGGAATTTTTTAAAAGTCCTTTTGAAAAAGTTTGGGGGCGCCTGGGTGGCTTAGTCGGTTAAGCGTCTGACTTTCACTTAGGTCATGATCTCGCGGTTCGTGGGTTCGAGCCCCGCGTCGGGCTCTGTGCTGACTGCCAGCTCAGAGCCTGGAGCCTGTTTCAGTCTGTGACTCCCTCTCTCTCTGACCCTCCCCTGCTCACGCTGTCTCTCTCTCTCTCCTAGAAATAAATAAAAAAAAAAAAGAAAAAGAAAAAAGTTTGGTGGCTGTGCTTATAGGCTATCTCAGTTGCTAGTATTTCTGTCACTGAGAGTGATTTGTTTATAAGTTAGCTAATGTGTAACCTTGACTATAGCAGTGACAAAAGTAGTTCCTTCGATACTTCATTTTCACTTGGTGTTACGTAAATGTGAATTTCCAAGGAAGGTTGGAATAATGAAGAACAGCCTCACAAACTGGGCCCTCTGCTAAGCACTCTGAGGCTGCAAATATTACCGGTATAGAGTACACTTGATGCACACGTATATCAATAGAAATACTTATGTGCATGTATGCCCAGACCTAAGACCAAAAGAAATTTATCTAGGGCCAAAACATGCTTTAAGCAAGTTAGAATTTTTATTCAAATTATAAATATGACTTGCAATACTAGTACTGAATTTTTTAAAACTTGGCTACCCCATGTTACCAAATTTGCCAGCCTTTTGACAATGGTATGTATGGAAACATTGCTAGCAGTTTTGTCGACCTCAAGATTTTTTTTTAATCTGCAAAATTGGGATAGATTTTTTTTTTTAAGAAAAGAACATTTAAATTAGCAGGTGACATATGGATCAGATACTAGCTATATTTGGTGCCTGTTCACTAGAAAATTACATAAAAGGATAGTTAGGAAAGGAGGTGAAAAAGAACCAGTAATAGGAGCCAAATACTAAAGGGAAGAAAAGTCTAGTTTCTACAGGAGACATTATTAGCATAAGGCATTTTGTTCTGTAATGTAGCTGTTGTAAATGTAGGAAGATAATAGGAGAAAAGTGGTAAATATACAGAAAATAAGAAGAGAACAAAGTGACTTTTTAGAAAACCAGACTCATGCACACAGAATGAAGGAAAGATATATAAACTAACCTGCTGGGTTTCCAGTTTTGGTTAATATTTTGGATCAGATCATGTAAAACCTTTGCTCTCATTTGATAGTCATCTAGATAATGCTGGATAAAATTTAATAACACCAGAAAGAAGGGATAATCTTCAGGAATCAGCAAAAGAGAGGGTGAAAACCAAACTGGTAAGGATTGTCTCTGTGGAGCTGGGGAGGGGTTTCAGTTGTAAAAGTCCCAAAGGACAGGGGACGAGACTGGGGGAATGGAACGGTGACCTCCACACAAACGAGGACCTCCAAAGAGCTACAGTCTTGGAGAAAAGGGTGGAGGGACTAGAAAAATTCATCTGACCAACACAGGGAGGTAATAAGGAAGCCTATTTGTTTTTTTTCTGGACCCTGAGTAGGAAAGAAAGGCCCCCTCTGAATTTGTCACAACAGGACTATACTAACAGGTTTAGGGTTCAAATTTCCACAGTGGGGAACCCCCAAGCCAAGAAATGAACCAAACACACTCTGAAAGGACAAACCTTCAGCCTAGATATACCAGATGCCCACAAACAAAGATCTATTTGTTCGAAATCACAAAACACACAAGGAAACAATCCACCATGAGCAACAGTCAACAGGAACAACAAATGACAAGATCAGATCGCAAACGCTTTAGATACTTGGTTTATTAAAGACCTATTTAAAATAAATTGGTTGACAAAGATTAAACCCACAGATAAATTAATCAATACAAGAAAAGAACAACTCCTAAAGTAGTTTTGAAAAAGAAACTAGGGTGCCTTCCCCTTGGTAAGTGATTTTTCCCTTTATCATTCTCAGTGGAACCAAATATTCAACATGAGACTGCACCTACGCATTGTATATTAACCAGAAGCAGTAAAACTTCCCCATGAGTCATTCATTATCACTCATTTAGCAAACATTTATCAACATCTGCAATGTGCCACCAATTGTGTGGTGCCTGGCATGCGGGCGTGGGGGGCTTTCAGCAGGTGAAGGGGACAGACCCTCCAGAGGAGCAGAGAGAATTGCAGGCAAAAGAGACATCTGAGTTAATTTCTAGCATGATGCATGTACCCAGGATGAAGGGAAGAAAAGAAAGGCCCAGCCTAAGAGGGGCCAAGGAAATGATGCTTCAGCAGAAATTCAAAGAATGAGGAGAATTTATGCTGATGGAGGGAGCAGAGAAAGCTGTCCAAGCAGAGAGAGAGGATGTTGGAAAGCCTGGATTCAAGATAGGCTGGTGCACTTGGGAGCCTGCAAGAAGACCGCTAAGGTGGAATGAAGAAAGCCAGCGGAGGCGTGAGATGTATGTACAGAGTCATCATGTGAGGCTGAATAGGGGCCAGATTCTGAATATCATTATCTGCTAGGCCAACCAGTTCAGATTTGGATTTACCCTGTAGGCACTGGGGAATCTGGGAGAGAAACGACCATCAAATCTAGGCTTTGGAAAAGACCATTCTGGGGATGAGGGGGTAGATGGTTTAGGAAAAGGTAGACCTGTCATTCCTCAAGGTTTTTGTAACCACAGCAAAAGGAAGGGCTTATCCTGCAAGTTTTGGGGGAAAACACTTGAACTATTTTGATAAGCATCAATGGGGGGATAAAACAGGAAGAAGTATGAAGAAGAGGAAGTAAGCTTGGAAATACACCCACTGTGCATTCCTAAAGGCAAAGACAAGCATAAGAGTAATATATATAACACACTTCCATTTTTACAAAGAGGAATAAAACCTAAAATCTTCCCTGCATACATGTGTGCACAGCAAAAATATATATTAATATGAAAAAAAAGTCGAAAAACTTACAGCCTCCTCTTATTCTTTAGGCTCCTATTGTGACTAGGTGTTGAAAACAGTAACAGTGATGGTTCCTGTTTTCAAATCCATCGCTGATTGTCTAAAGGAATGAAAAAGGAGGAGGAAAATTCAAAATTGTTCCAAGGTCAAAATCATGACTCCCTCACTGGAAAGTGAGCTTCCTGGAAATAAGCCACATGTTTTATTCATCTTTGAATTTCCCCAGTGCCTGGCACATAAATGCCCAATAAAAGTTTATTGGATGTGAGAATAAGAATACGGGAATTTGGGAATGCCCTAAGGGTTATGCAGAACCTGGCAAGAGATTACATTCTGGGAAATTCAATTCAACAAATATTTATCAAGCCTTTGTCATATGCCACCCTGAGCTGGCGTAGAGGGTGAGGGGAGGCAGTCGTATCTATCAGCTTAAAGACCTAACCCTAGCAACAAGCAAAGGAGGATTCGAAAGACATGGGCAAGGGCATCAGCTTTGGAGTTTGGCAGACCAGGGTTTAAATTAGGATTCCTCTTCTGGGGCGCCTGGGTGGCTCAGTCAGTTAAGCGTCCGACTTCGGCTCAGCTCATGATCTCACAGCTTATGGGTTCGAGCCCTGCATCAGGCTCTGTGCTGACAGCTCAGAGCCTGGAGCCTGTTTCTGATTCTGTGTCTCCCTCTCTCTCTGACCCTCCCCTGCTCACACTCTGTCTCTCTCTCAAAAATAAATAAACATTAAAAAAAAATAAATTAGGATTCTTCCACTTACCAGCTGTTTGACCAAAGGTAAATAGCTTAACCTCTTTGGGCCTCCACTTCCTCATCAGCAAAATAAAGATTATAATAGTGCCCACCTCAGAATGTTGAGAGAAAGAAATGAGATATTCATGTTGCGCATTTAGCAAAGTCCTTGAGACAGAGCTCTGGGTTCACATGAGATATTACTGTTTTTTTTTTTATTTAAAAAAATTTTTTTTAATAGTTTATTGTCATGTTGGTTTCCATACAACACCCAGCGCTCATCCCCACAATATGAGATATTACTGTTGACAAATGTTGGGATCAAATGAGTGTATCTGCTTGATGCTACTCTTGCCAGTTACTCTAGACCATCTCTTTGGTAACTTTGGTAGGGAGAATAATGGTCCCCGAAATATGTTCGCAACCTAACCCCTGGATCATGAGAGTATGTTCCCTTCCATGGCAAAAGAGACTTTGCAGATGGGATTAAGTTAAGGATCTTGAGATGCAGAGATTGTCCTCTGTTATCCAGTTGGTCCCATGTCACCATGAGAGTCTTTATAAGGGAAAGAGGGGGGCAGGAAATCAGAGGAAAGTAGGCAGTGGAAGCAGCAGTTGGAGTGCTGGGTTGCCGGGTGGGGGTCACAAGCCAAGAATTGTGAACAGTCTTTAAAAGATGGGAAAGGCAAAGCAATGAATTCTCCCCTAGAGCCAATACCTTGACTTTAGTCCAAGAAGACCTGGACTCCTGACCTCCAGAATTGTAAGATAGTAAATTTATGTTGTTTTGAGCCACTATCTTTATGCTAATTTGTTACAGCAGCCGTAGGAGACTCATACAGTAATGATGGACAAAGAGATGGGCTGCCCAGACCCTATTCAAGGAGAGACTTGCTGTCCCATTGCCTGGAACACAATCAAGAGATGGCCTCTGCTGTCAGCTCCTTTGGCTTCAGCCTTAGCTGCAAGAGCTGCTCATCCAAGGTCATGTCCTTCTGGGGGCAGCTCACACCGAGTGACTGAGCGAAGCAGTAGTGGGATGTGGCTATGCTAGCCTGTTACTTTGGCTCAACCCCGCCAACTCCGACAGGCGATCATTGTCTCAGAGCTTCCTGTGGGTTTGGCGGAGGCTTTGTTGGACGTGCACCATGGTTTGGCTTTTTTTTTTTTCTGCCCAGTTCTGCTTTGTTTAGGAAAAAAAAAAAAAACAAAAAAAAAACAGTTCTCCGTCCTGTGTTTCTCCTTTACTCTCATACTACCGCACTCACAACACTTCTGACACCAGATACGTGGGGGTTTTCCCTGCACCAAGCAATTCTGCAACACCAGCTGGGTGTCCTACAATTCAACTCAATTCTGACACAATCTGCAGATA